AGCTACAAGGAAGAACAATTTTGATGGAGGTGGAAAAAAAAGTCAAGGTCCTGAAACACTTAAATTAATTTCCATTAAAAACAATGTAAGACATCACAAAACTTCACTGAGTTCTTATAAGAATTGGGAGAATTCTTATTCAGTTCTGAGAAAATGTGCAGCAAGCTAACATAAAAAAAAAAAAATCGTCTGCAAAGGAAAGCCTGCCAGATATTATACCAACAGGACAATGGATACTCAACAAACACTCATCCTCTTATCCACATGCTCATTCAAAATCTCCTTGAGGTGTGCTGCAGAAAAGGACAAAGAACCCAAAGCACCTGCTCATTTGTATGAATTTCAGCAATATCTAAGCCAGTTATGCCAAATTATATTTACAAGTAACTTAAACCAATGTGAAAATCCCAGAGAGATATGTTTTTAAATCCAGTTTATATAATCTTGGTCTACCTGGAACTTTAGCACCACAAGCCAAGCCATTAAATCAGCTATAAATCTACATCAGTACAGACTCATTACCAAAACTTGCAGTTGGCCAGTTTGCTGCTAGTACTCTGTCTCTAACAGAGCAGCCAGTAAACCAGCATCTCTTTTCTAAAAACAAAAAACAAAAAAAAAACAAAAAAAAAAAAAAACAAAAAAAACAAAAAAAAACAAAAAAAAACCCAACAGATCATGAAATACTGAGAACACTGAAGACAGAAGGGTAATATGCATACATGAGACAGAGAAGACAGATTAAGGACGATGATTCCACTCCTCACAGAAAGCTTTCACACACATATATCTGTGCCACAGACTGTATTACCTAAAGTGAAATTCTTTGCCAAGAGCTGAAAACAACTGAAGACTTTTGTTCAGCTATCTAGTTGCTCATTGTTCATCCTGAATTCAGTTAGCAACAATGCCTTTTCTTTTAAAATGCACAGAGCTAAGATGGATGGAAGTTTTATGCTACTCAAGATGTCAGAAAGACTTCCTTTACCTGGGACGATGACTGCGCTGTACTGTATTGCTGTCAAACAAATAAGCCTGCTCTGTCTATCACAGTTCAGACTCGTGAGCTATTCATCCCTACAGCAAAGCATCTGCAGACTAATTTGCACTGAAGTTTTAAAGCAATTTACATTTTTCTCCCTTGCTCTATCCAAATTTCCTGCTTCGACCTAACATATATTTTAGCTTTACATGCTCGAGGTGCAAACAAGGTGATGCTCAGTTGGCGTTTGGGAAATCTCTTGAAAATCTGAATGCTAAAGCTCTCTTTTCACTGTTTTGCCCCAAACACAAAGTGTCCTGGCAGGACAATCTAAAACAGATGTAGACAGCAGCAGCAGCAAAGGTGGTCTCTTACATTTTTTCGTGTAACACAAGCATCTCTAATGACAGGAGGAAGGGTAATAAAACCACCGGTTATTTTTTCCAAACAAGATAATCTCTCTTGCCTCAAGAAATCTTGTAACAGGATCACAACTCAAGATACTGCACTGTGATACTTCAAAAGAAATACCCATTAGAGGGCCTATATAACTTCCTCAATTTACAACTCTCCTTCTAATAAACCCTCAAGTATTCTACTCTGCTTTGATTTATACTGTTTTTTCCCTCGTCAAATAACTGATCAATGGATAAAAATGATACTTTCTTGCCTGAAGGCAGTTACCAAGGCAGTGAATAACTCTGCACATAGTCTTGGGGAATAGTAAACTAAAGGACAAGAAGCAATACTGAACATGCCTTGGTTGAAATAAAACATTTAAGACATTCATGGCAAGGCTGATAAATAAGAATGCAGAAATATAAATGTGAGTCTGTTGGGCTACTGCTGCTATTTCAGTAGCAAAACTCACACTGTGACTTGGAAAACCGGATTGCCTCATGGACATATCACTGAACAACAGTCTCCATTTCAACAGTCAGAAGAGTGGGTTCTTCTGAGATACCCCAGGATAATAATAATAATCAGGAAATCTCAAAAGCAAGGAGGATTTGTATCACTTCCCACGTAGCCTAAAAAAAAAAAAACCACTGAAGAAAAAAATTAGAGCAGACCCTCTGAGGAGATTTGCGGCAGAAGACCCAGAAGGCAAACAGATGAAACTAAGAAGCAGAGTAACTGGTAGGCAATAACTGCATTTCATGAAAGAAAGGTAAGAAATAGTTAAGGAACAACCTGCTCGCAAGAAAGTTCCTTACTAAATTCAGTTCGAGACTGGATTATAGTTAGTATTTCACTTAATGTGAGTTTAAGTATTTAAGAACCACATAAACATCTTCCATGAAATTCAACTAATTCAGCATATTACTCTTTGCAGTAATTTCAAAAGAAAAGTTACACAATATTATAAATATTTCTCTTACGTCAAAACTCCATAATTTGTTTCATCTAATGATTCTTCAATTAATGTAAAGGTTACTTACAAGGGACTTTGCAAAACATAGATTTATTATTGCTGAGATATACAATTATTGTGTATCTATGATACAGCTACCCTCCTTGCTTTTCCCTTTAGAAGCGCAGTGCCAGGCAGCACATCTTTAGATTCCCTACTCATAGCATAGGAAATAAAAGTTAAAGACACCTTCCCCCCACCACGTAATGATAATCTTACAAGTGCCTCTAGTTCTGAAGGACTAGCAAAAAGGCAGATACAGTAATAAGCACACAGTACTACTGCAGAGTTCGTTACCAGATCTCCCCTTGTGGAAGACAGGTAACTTGTTCTCATTATTACAAGCCACATGCTTTCAAAACAAAACTACCTAGCACATAAATCTTTGTGGTTTAGTGTTCATTATTTTATGACAGCCACTTTTCAATTGTCTACTTTTCCACAGACACAGTCTTCCTGCTTTCTTTCGCATGTAAACATGATTTCCTAAGCCCACATCCATTATTTTGTTACACATACAAACAAGAAGCAGATCCATAAGGGCAAGCACATAACTAAGGAGGTAATCTGGGACTGATTCTTCTCTAATGAAACGTTAGAAACTTTGACAGGGAAAGGAAAAACACAGCCATCTAAGAGTGATCGTTCAGAAAGGGTGAACACACTCCACAAAACAACATATACTTTCCCAGAATAAATATCAGCAATAATTCTGGAAGTGAGCAGAGGCTGAAAGAGAACAGTAAGCACCTTTGAAAAAAAAACCAAAACCAAAAAAAAAAAAAAAAAAAACAAAAACAAAAAAAAAAAAAACCAAAAAAAAAAAAAAAAAACAAAAAACAAAATCCCTTACATCATTGTATTTTAAAATCCCTATTTAGGGATTTTACTGGTATATACGTCTGCACCCGCGTCCCTGAGTGGATATAAGAATTGTGCTCCTGCCCTGGGGACTCTTCATCAGCAGGAATGCAACTGAACATATTAAGTTGCAGGATGCAAGCTGCACCCACCTTAACATTTCCTATCTCAGCGTAAAGACGTTAAGTGGTATTTTTAAAACATCTACCACAGCAGTAGTATTTCCAACAAAGCTGCTTCTTAAGGACTTGCGTCCAGACACAACTCTAGGAAGAACAGTATCTCACATTATGCAAAGCTCCCAAGAACATAGCTGAGGGGAAGAAAAAAACGTGATGGGTTTATTACGGATATGCAATGCCAAGGCAGTGCAGCAAAATTTATATGATGAAGTAATCTATAGAAAAGCAATAGAGAAGACAGCAAAAGGCACCAGGAGATAATTTAGCAATTATTGTGATCACTGGTAGAAAGACTAAGACTGGACAGACACACACACACAACATAAAATAAAAAATAAATAAATTCAAGATACTCAGAAAGTCCGAGCTCTTGTAGACCAGAAGCAAGACATAAATCCCAACAAATATTTCTCTAAATCAAGTGAGCTCCTGGTGAAACACACCCGATGACCACCCTCAAGCAGTATGTACAAGAAAGTGGCAACATTTGAAAAATGCTCCCCGACAACTTCTGGCAGAAGAGAATGCCTGTGCCTTAAAGGTGAAAACGTCTGGGCCACGATTCCTCAGGAATTTAAAGGAGTGAAAGCTCCACACTTTTATGATAATGCTGCCTTTTAACCTCCTACTCATAAACAGCCCTATAAAAAACCTCATGCTGTTATCAACCTTTATTGCTCCTTCATGTGTTTATCATTCATTTTACGTTTAGTCTCTCCCGGTTTTTATACTTCTCTTCCTACTTCATCCCAGGAGCGTCCGTCACGCCTTCTCACACTCGAGACCGCAAACCCTCACGCTGCGCCGAACTCCAAACTCCCCTCCTTGTGCTTCTCCTACACCCGACCCGCCTCCACCCCCTCCTTATATACCGGTATCCCTTTCCCTAACCCAAACGAGACCCCTCCCGTGCCCCCGCCGACATGTAACCGCGCCCCACGTTCCGGAGATAAACCCCCGGGCGGCTCCGCCGCGCTTCAGCCTGACGGCGGACAGAGCCCGGGGGAGCCGCTCCCTCGCCCCAAGGGCCGCAGCACCCACCCCCCCCCCCCCCCCCAAATGGCGACGCCACCTCAGGCTACGGTCGCCCCTGCAGCGCCCCCCCCCCCCCGCCACCCCCAGGCACTGTCAGCCCTCAGATCAGACAGGACAACTGGCGCCCTCCGGTTCCGGGGCTGCGGCGCGTACAGGGCGGTGTCCGTATGTCCGTCCCACACCCCCCCCCGCCCCGGGCCCTCCGCGCCGCCGCGGCCCGGCACGAGTAGCCTCACGGCGGGAGCCCCGGGAAACGTGGGGGGAGAAGGAAAGAGGAGAAGGAGAGCCGTTACCTGCGCGATCGCGGGCTCGGCTGGGCTCCGCGCCGTCCCTGCCCGGCCCGAGCTCCTCCTGGCGGCCGCCGCCCTCCCCTGCCCCCGGGGATCCACCCGCGCCCCGCTCGCCTCCCTGCGCCGCCTCAGGCCGGCTCCGCAAGATGGCGGCGCTTCCGGGAGAAACCAAGGCGGGCCCGAGGTGGAAGGGGCCCGGGGCCCGCCCTCCCCCGCCGGCCCCTCCCCGTCCCCCCGCGCTCCCCCCGCTGGGTGCGCTCGCCCGCACCGCTCCTCGGCCCGCCATGGCGGCGGCGGCGGAGGCGCTGAGGGCCGGGGCCGCGCGGCTCCTCTTCTACCCGACGCTTCTCTACACGGCGGTGCGGGCGCGGTTACCCGGGTCCCGCCGGCCTTGGTTCCACCGCATCGACGGCGCCGTGTTGCTGGGGGCCCTGCCGCTGCGGGGACGCAGCCGCGGGGTAAGGGCGGGAGCGGCGGGGCGGGGCGGGGCGGGCCGGCGGTGCCTGAGGGTTCCTGACGGTGCCTGTGCCCGTAGCTGGTGGCGGAGGAGAACGTACGCGCCGTGGTCACCCTCAACGAGGAGTACGAGACCCGGTTCCTCTGCTGCTCCGCCCAGGTGAGCCCGGCGAGCTTGCCGCTGCCCTCCCGAAGGGTTTCTTGTCGTTCCGCCTGTCCCGGCGCGGGTGAGGCTTCGGCCGCCTCCTCAGAGACCGCCGAGTCCCTCTCGCAGCAAAGAGGCGGCTCCTTCGTACCTACGCCGACTTTAAAAACTATGAGACGGACCAGTGAAGAGTGGGGATGCAAGTGTTGGTTACGGCGGGGAGGGGAGCACTAAATTCACGTACGTCCCTATGCAAACACAAGAATGCCTTTTGTTTCGGGACAAGATCCCAGCTCCCCTCCTATCTTTTAGCTGAACCCCATGTTTTCAGTTCCCTTTAATTTATCCTTTCTGATAAGCAACGCTAAAGTTTTCATCCATCGGATTTAAAGCACAGACATTCAAAGCCTGCTTACAACCCCATTTAATTTCCCACCAGTCTCAACAGGTTCTGGGTTTTCTCTCTGGGGAAAAAAAAAAAATATACAGAAAGTTAACTGCTCGAATCGGCTATGCTCATTTCAGGAATGGGAGGCGATGGGAGTGGAGCAACTGCGTCTCAGCACCGTGGATCTGACTGGAGTCCCCACCTTGGAAAGCCTCCACAGAGGTGTTGAATTCATACTGAAACACCGAGCCTGCGGTAACAGTGTGTATGTGCACTGCAAGGCAGGACGCTCCCGCAGTGCCACCATGGTGGCAGCGTACTTAATTCAAGTAAGAAGGATTCTATGCTAAATGTGGTTTATTTTCAGACAGTCTGGGTAAATACAGCCAACCTTTACAGTTTGCTTTTCTTCAAGAAGCCTGAACATGTACAGGTGCAATAATGTTCCATGATTTTACAGAGTTTGGACTGAAGACCCATTTTAAGAGAGGTAGATAGCTAGGCCCCAAACTTACCTTGCTGTTTTGTAGAATGTGGCAAATGCAGAGTAAATGAACCAGTGAAACAATGTTTGCTGAACTATGGTCTAAGCTTTCTTTGATAATGTAGCTTGTTTTTGCGCACCTTGTTCATCTGTGCTTATGATACTGTCAAGATAACGCTTCCTGGCAACGAGATGGTGGTGAAGCTGCCATATAGCTGCTGTTGTAAGTAGTCTTTTCATTCATCTGTAAGGTCTGCCTCTGCCAGCTGAGTTATTAGCACAGGCACTGGCAAAGATGTTCTGACCTTATGGGAAAGAGAAACTGTTAATGCAACACAGCTTTGAAACACATGGTCTGATAGTATCTGTTGCTGGTTCTGGCAGATCAGTCAGACTTCAGGAAGCTGCTCAGTTTTCTGGGACATTAGTATAGTAAGTTTTCAACAGGTTTTGAATGATTCTGCCTTTCTTCTTTCTGTGGAGGAACAGATTGAGATGGGAATAACAAGTCACGCGTTGAAGGTAGGTTCACTGAGCAGATAAACATCTGTTTTTATTGTTCAGATTTTCTCCTTGGTTAACTGAAATGGCAAGCTTTTCTAAGCTTTTCAGTAAATACAATTCAAGATCAAGAGAAGTGACTTTGGTTTTCTGAGTTCCTCTATAGACCCAACTGAGTAAGCCAGCACTAAGAACAAAATCCCACCAGTGGATTCTTCTGTTGGTGGTGTTAAGTGTTCCTGGGAAAATTTTCCCTTAGCACTGAAGGGAAAATTTTCTAAGCACTGAAGTGCAATGGGAGTACTAGTAAAGTTAAAACAAAAAACAAAAAGAGCAAGCTGCACTTTTGCTCTAGACTTGTGGGACTAGGACAGGAAATTATTCACAATGTGATAGAAGCATGGGCGAGACAGAAAACGGAGGTCGCAGGTAGGGACCATCCCTCTTTAACCAAGGACTCATTTCATGAACTTGCACTGACATTCAGGCCCCTCTGAGCAGAACACGAAGTAAACAGAAGGGGCAAAGCAGCAAGTTTTCTAACAACTCTAAGGTTGCCTACAGCCTCCAGGAAGGCCCCGTTAACCGGTACAGGGATGGAATGGATTTTCATTTGCAGGGTTTCTGCCTTTTCAGCTGCATCACTGGAGCCCTCAGGAAGCAATAGAGGCTATTGCCAAGATCCGTCCCCACATCCTCATTCGGCACAAGCAAGTCCAGGTCTTGGAGACATTCCACAGGAACATGATCGCTGGGACAAATGCATAGTGTCAGTAAGAACTATCAAAAAATCTCTTGACTGCTTTAAAAAAAAAGCCTTATGCTTTAATGATCTAATGAAAGCTTAAGCACTATATTTCTTGACCATCAATAAATAAGTTTTTTACATAGATTACAGTAAAGAGGAGGTTGGACTGTTTCATTAAAGCTTTCTTTCCTTATGGCTAATATCTTAGTTCTCTTGAGGCCCCATAGTTGTTCTTTCCCACACACATTATCAGTGCTGAGCCAAACTGCACTCCACAGGAAGTTCTGTAAAATTTGCAGCAAAGGAAAAGAAACTTTTGTCTCAGCAGAGACTTTATTCAAATTCTTACCCAAAGGGTTACAGTGCCAACAGAGAGGAGCAGGAGGAAGTGGTCTTAATTCTGTCTTTCACCAACATTATGGTTACAGGTGGGGATTCCCTGTATGGTAAAGGAAACCAATGCTCCTAAAAACAATCTCCCTCTTTATGCTAGGTGATGACAGAGCAGTAAGCAAGTTCCCAGTTTGTTACCACTCCTCTAGGAGAAGTGCTGAATAATGCAGCCTACTAAAGGTCCTGGGGTCAGCTCTGGAATCTGTCTGCTGTAAATATTTCTGCCAGTTGCTCCTTCTGCAATGGGGACACAGGAATGTTTAAATGGGGACATCCCTGGAGGACACAGTGCACATCTAACTCTGTGACTGACACGGCAGCAACACGCAGTCTCCTAGGCAGCTAAAACTAGCAGTCTGGGCCAAGGAGGATGTTGTCCATATGCCATAGGATTTGTTACTGGTGGATTGGTTCTAGGCTAAAAAAGCCATTTGCTGCAGTTTGGGCCTCAAACGCAAGCAGTTTATCATCAAGGGATCAAAGTAATAGCATTTAGTCCATCTGAAATCTAAGATGCAGCAGTTTGATAGTGCTATGGAAAAAAATAGGCCCACAGCCAGAAAACCTGTACTTCCTCTGCACAGGATGGGGTCTTTACTGGATGTTGTGAGCTTGTAGTAACTGGGACTGGTGCTGAGGGTGGTGGGTGCCTCGGAGCTGCACAGCAGAACACCGTTCTTGCCCTTTCTATCATGGCCCATGTTTCCTGCTTAGGCCAGGACAAACTGCAGGTTAGTGAGCAGCACTTTGATGCCACTTGTGACAGTTACAACAGAGGTGGCTGGGTTAAGTTTAAAAGTATTTGCATCGCCCTTTTTATAGCGGTCACGGAAGACATAGATGCTGCCGTTGCAGCTGGCAATTTTCCAGAGGGATGGTACAGAGCTCCAGGCATCGGGCAGGCACAGCCGGGTGAAGCTATCCAGCAGGGGATTGTAGCATAGCAGGGAATCCCCCTCGGCCACAATAAACACCACATCCTTGTGTACAGCAGCATGCATGCGCCCCGCAAAAGGCAGTACGTATGGCTTCACATGGCATTTCTCCGTGTTGGTATCGTAGCACTGAATTAGCCGAGAGGGCTTGGTGAAGAAGTCCAAGTCATTTTCCTCCCCGCCCAGCAGGTAAATGACACCGTTAAGGTTTACACCCGCAGCTCCAGAGACCGCCACTTCCAACTGGCTGGTCTCTGTCCAGACATTGTCTCGTACTCTGTAATATATGACGGCATTAGAGAGAGTGTCCTGGAGAGTTTTCCCCCCCAGTGAATATATCGCATCCTTGCTTGGCACAGAGACGAGGGTGTGTTGGAGCCGGTCACGGGGCAGAGGGGCACACCATTCCCAGTCTATAGTTGCATTGTTGCATTTCCACATGCGCCGTGGAATGGAGCCACCGACAACATACAGGTCGCTACCGTGCTTGCAGGCTGCAGTGATCTGGTGACACAGGCTGTTCTGGCCGCTCACGCTTATGGAGTCGTCATCAGCACAATGCAGAGACACGGCCAGTGAATGGGTACGCGATGACTCCTTTCCAATCAGGTAGATGTGAACATTTTCTCCAATCACCTGAGAGAAAGGAGGAGTCTGTCAGCAGAATTGGACCTGTTTACACAGACAGCAGCCATGCCTAAGTCTGAATTTTTCAGCTTAGGACCCACCTGTGGGCCTGAGGGGTGTGTGTGTGCTGCTTCCCAAGTCCTGCCACCCTACAGCATTCAGGACTCAGAGCCTCAAAACCTTTTCAAGATACCAGTCATATCTGACATAGCAAAACAGCAACAGACTTCACTGGAACCTGCGTGTCTGCGGTTTAGGTAAGGGCTGGTGACATCACTGATGGAGTAGAGTTATTATAAGGGGAATGCCAAACTCGGGTCTCTGAATGGCCTCTTTGGTAACTGAGCATCTGGTGAAATAAGTTATTTGTGGCATCGCTCCAGTCACTAGTGAAAGCAGCCTCAGGTTAAATTAAAAAAGCTGTCAGTGGGGTTGCTATTTCTGACAATGAAAGTATTCCTCATGCAAGCACTGTGAATTTCAATGGCATTTGTGTTCTGCGACTTTCAAGTCACACCTGTGAGCAGAAGGCCTTGGGAAGCGCAAAACCAGCAAATGTGACACCAACCCCAGAAGAGCAGGTGGGTTTATACCTTCAGACTCGATCGCAGCGTCTCCGAGAAGCCCGCTCGCTCCTCCTTGTTGAAGTTGATCCAGGTTTCTATGGCAACTGTTGGATTTTGAGAACATGGAACGCCATCTGTGGTTTGGGGATAGAAAGGCATTTATGATACCTAGACAAAGGTGTATGTACTCAGGAACATCCTTTCCCTGCGACTCCCGCCCCCAACTCCCACCACAAACCCTACTTTCTAAAAGGGAAAACCACAAACCCTACTTTCTAAAAGGGAAAAAAAAAAAAAAAAGATACAGAGGCTTATAGATTTTGGCAGGCATGATAGCACTGCCAGCCAGACATCTACATGAAATTAGTTTGGATAAGTATCAGAAGACAGAGCTGCTAGATCTTAAGCACTTTGGATGAATTTCAACAAAGGAACCTATATCCGAAAGAACGAGGGCAGGAAAGAGAACTTACATCCTTTCTGATGATGAAAAGTATTTTCTTATTTAAGCATTTAGGCAAAAAGATTCTGCTATTTGAGAATCTCAGCAGTTGCTTTTCTTTCTGGCTGGTCCTAGAAACATACCTAGCAAAAGTCATCTGCAGAAATTTTCCTTCTCTGAGCACTGCCAGACAGCTGACCCTCAAGACTGAACACCTGGTGTTGCTGCTGTCCTCTTAACATTTGGAAATCCCCAATGAGCTACTACAGCTTTCCTTAGCAGCATGACAGTAGCAAACCCTCAACGGACAGCATCAGATTTCAGTTTGTTTCCAGACCTAATTGGAAGTTCTGATTATGCCACAAACTATTCCATCATTGTCATCAGTACATTATCTAGATTTTCAGTATTTACTTGCAGTTTGAAAGCCAGCAATTGGGTCTGTAGTCACCAAGAGGCTTCCCTGTGAAGGCTCTCTGATTTCTTAGTCTGCTCTTACGACAAATCCTGAATTCAATGATGCTGAAAGCATCAGACAAATTCCAGTGCTTTTCTCTATACTGGAAGGGAGGAGAAAAAGTGTGGAATAAAAGCGGATATTTCAACTGTTTGTCAGTGAAAGGGATTTCCATAAGCTATCCATCACATTTAGTGGTTACATATAGAAACCTTGATTCTGAAGTGGGTCACAGAATGCAACAAAAGGTAAGCTTAATAAATTACTATTTCATGACATTCATTTTAATCCTTCCCACTAATAGCTTCCTCTATTTAATTCTCCATTAACTAAACAAAGATATAGGAATTGTAAAAGAAAAAGATTTTCCCTACCGCCAGGAGTATATTTCAGATTTTAATCCCTTTTATGAGCTAAGTTTCATCATCAATATTGAGTAATGTGGTTCTATATATGGAAACAGAGGATGATGTATGAGAAAAAAGTTTTATTGAGCAATTGTTTTAATTTAGGACCACAGACACCAAAGGCCATAGTCCTAAAACTGTGGTTACTACATGGAATCCGTAGGACGTTAAGGGTGATTGACCTCTATAGCTTTATTTCATGATTTCAGGATTTAATTTTTTTTTTTAATGAACTCACAACTTAGTTTAAAAACCTTTAGCTAGATAGTTATCAAAATTACTCTTGTTTTATCATAGGTTTTTTTGAGCTATCAGTACATATTCTCAATAGGTTTTTGACCATGAATTTCTTTAGATGCAATAGAGATAATACAATGCAATATCTGTAAAGACTCTCATATGCATAGCATCGACTTTAAAGGCTATTTTAAGTCTTGCAGACAGATTTGCCGATATTCCAAAGAAGCCAGTCATGGTAGGTTTATTGTTTTAACAGCATATAAAACACATGACACACAAAGTATAGTTACTGACTCATTTACAAAATTATTTCATTAAAGCAAGAACAGGGCAATCTCTCTGGTCCCAAGTCCAGCACATCTGAATGTATGAGCTGCTTCTACATTCTTGTTTCCTCTAGCCATGATATGGCAATGCACAAAAATAGAGTTGTGACTGCAGCATCACGGAGAGGTTTTCAAGTGCTGGCTGTACCCCTAGGGCAGCAGAGAATCTTTAAGGATTGGTGGCAGCTGGACTAAGTTTTTGATGTGTTGACACTCCTTCACAGCACTGAGTCACTGCATCCATTACTGTGGAAGGCAATTATTACCTTTACAAGAAGGGTAATTACTGTATTACCTAAGATGTTACAATGCCTCTATTTCAGTCAGCTGAGCCTAAATAATCTCAGCAATTATCTAAAATTGTTAATAACACTAACATAGTCTAAAAATATGGCTTGTGCTCAAGCCTTCTTACAAATGATGAGTTATTGCTTTACTATGTTAAATGATTGCAAACTAAATAAATAAAAAAAAAGCCACAACCAACTTTCATGTTAGTTTCTGGTAGGGCTTCTTTGTTTTACTTTTAATTCAAACACAAGTACAACAAATTGTTGAAAGTTACTAAGTTATGTTTAAAACCCCCTGTAATACTGACCTGTTGACTCAGGAACTGCTGGGAATTACCAGCATCCTCTTTGTCCCTCTTCTATAGATACTTCATGTCCAGTAACAATTCATAGGTTTTTTTCTGAGTAAGTTATCCAGAATGTTTTGCTTTGCTTCACTTAGCTAAGCCTCTGAATAGACATTGATTATGAAAGCTTGGATCTTTCCATCCGTTTTGTTCAATCCCTGACAGACTCTCTGAAAGTCTCTTTCTACATCCACATCCTGGGTAGTCTCAAGAACTCCTTACCTGTAAGGATGTCTGTCAGCAGGCGGAGAGGCAGGTGTAGGAACTCCTCTGTGTCTTGCAGCTGGGACAAATGTGACTTTGCACAGTGTTTCGCAGCTGTGTAGAGCTCCACGTCACTGTGTTGATCTGCCAACCACATGACCTGCAGACAGTTCCTAACCTGCACTGTACGGGCCAGAAAACGGGAGCACTCTTCAAAAAGGGCAGTCAGCTGGTACATGTCTGCCACTTCATAGGTTTCCTGCAACTCCTCTGCCCTCAGCTTCACAGTCCCATGGTAAATGTAGTCCACAAGGAGCTGAAAGACACTCTCGCTAACGTCCTGCAGCTCAATCACCCGGTTGTGGGCCTCTTTTAGGTTGGAAGTGAACATAGAACGAAAAAAGCAACTCTGAGCTGAGAGGACCAAACGGTGCAGCTGGAATTCCTTGCCTTCCACTGATATTGTAACATCAGCAAAGAGCTCATCCTCCAAGCATAATTTCATAATACCCTGGGCCACGCGGCCCGAGTGGGAGCGATCAGTGAAGGTGTAGTTCACAAAGTAGTTTTCTTCTGCAGAGGAGCCTCCAGTCTCTTCTGACGAGTCCATGGTGCTGCACAGATCAGACCTCCAGCAATCTGTAAAATCACAATAATTACGTGGCTTTCTCTCTTCACTAACAAGATTATGCAGTACTTCAGGGTACAGGGAAGAATCAACCAGTTTGGTAAGAGGCCAGCATATTTTAGACTGAATATAAATAGCGCAGCCAGAAACTTCTGCTTGAGCTTCAGAATCTCAAACAACAAATGAGAAGTTGGCATAATTAAGATTATAATATATACCAAACTTCCAGTACAGTGAGCATCACATCCCAGCAGAACTGAGAGACGTGCATATCTTTTCACCACTCATTTCACTGACAGGAAGAAATGCAACAACAGTTTTTCAAGTGGAAAGTCCAGCAACCGCCCTAGGAGACTCGTGAAGCCAAAAAAATGTGGCAGCACCATAGCTGGGCTAGATGGAAAAAGGATTGCAGTATCATGCTAACAAAGACAGCATTTCATATCATCAAGGGGAGGTAACGACCATCCAAAACCAACATGATGACTCTGTGCAGTGGTATCACGCAAGATGAACTTGTTTTTACCTAAAAGATGTGCGAGAAGTCTGCCCGACATAACCACCAGTCCTTCAAGCTAATCAAATTAAATAAATGATGGTTATACTCTGTTAATGCGCCAGACACCTTCAGCATGCAAAATAACCAGTTAGATGTTGTCAGCCACTGTTTCCCAAGTGGCAAGGAGAACTCAGTTTAAAAGATAACACCTCTTAGCAGGTACCAGAAATTGTTTGCAGAGCTTCAAGCAGTTTGTGGGTCGAAAAAGGTTCTGAACCAGAGAAGGACTGCTGTAGAAAAGAGCTCTATTTGCATGGCTCTTGCCAGCATTAGGAGCAGATAGATGCCTGCCTGCATTCACTTTAAGCTTATTTTTACACCTCAACTATCAGCCATCGTGACTGATATCACAAATTTCTTCAATTAATACCGAACATGATTTCCAGTACAATGTTGCCCAAAGATGAGACTTTTCTCCAGGAGATTCATAGTTACTCTTCCATGCTTTATTTTGTCAAACATCCATTTTCTTACAATAGCTCTGCTTGATACAGAAGGGCTCCTAAATTCTGTTCACGAGAAGTAGTGTCTACATCCTTAGTTGGCTGGACAAGTCCGTCCCATCCTTGGTGATGGCCTGCCTTTATTATTCCCTTAATGTGAGTTTAAAACAGTTCTGGTCTGTCTGAAAAATACCTATACGTTAGTTTGTAAGAGACTGAGGAACTGCAATTGGCACAGAACACATCGGTACTATTCTTAGAGCTTTATCAGGTACAAGCCTATCCTGCAAATTGGCTCCCGCTTCAGTTAAAGCTCTTGATCCTCACAGGGATCCTTGCAGATCCCACTGCCCTCCACGACTTCCAAAGGACCGGTATCAAGTCACAAAAGAAATGCCGACAGCAGCTAAAGACTGCCATAAATCTCACATGCTTCTTTGTAAAGACAAAGCCCTGCCTTTGCATCTCCACTGTACAGAAAGAGGGGTGTAGAACAGCGAAGAGTCCTGTAAAGCAAAAATCTTACACTCCACGCATATGTTGCATAACTAAAAGCAGTGACCTGCCGTATGCCAGGGTGGGTGGACCTCACGCTGAATCCAGCGGAACATCCAGACAAAGGGGGTGTAGGGTACAGCAGGCACACCACGACACCAGGTAAAGGGGCTTAAAAACAGCGGTAACTTTCGCGTAATTCTGACAATCTTTCTTCCCCGGGACGACTTCTGAAAACGGCTAAATTCTCAGAAAAGCGAAGACACACGCACCCCCCCACCCCCCCGCTCAGGGCCACGCTCACGCAGTGGGAAGCGCCGGCGTTCCCTCAGCCCCGGGGCCCGGAGGCCGCGTCTCCACGGAGCTCGCTGCCCCCCGGGGCTCCCACGGCACCCACCTGCGCCGCCTCCCCTCATACCGCCCCGGAGCCTCCGCCGCCGCCTCCTCCTCCTCCTCCTCCTCCCGCCGCCGCCGCCGCCCCGGGCTCCTCCGCGCCCCTCACCCTGCTCCAGGCCCCCGTCGCTTCCCGCCACCGACCCGGAAGCGTCCCCGGGAAGCGCCTCAGCGCGCCCCCGCCCTCTCCTCCCCCGCGGGGAGCGGGGAAGCGGCGCTTTCCGCTTCCGGCCCGTGCCCTTGCGCGTCCGTGTCGCGGCGGGGATGTGGGCGGCGGCGCGGGGGTTGAGGAGGGTTGCGCTGCGAGGTGAGGCCAGGCCGCCCGGCACCGCGGGAGGGGGCTCGGCCGGCCCCTGGCCGCGGGGCGGGCGCTCAGCCGGGTCCGTTTTTCCCCTCAGCAGGCGCAGCCCCGGCGGCGGCGGCGGCGGCGCAGGCCCAGGCCCAGGCCCAGGCCCAGGCCCGGCTGGCGGGGAGCTCCACCGCGGAGACTCGGCGTGAGTGAGCGCGGCTGGGCGGCGTGGGGCCGAGGGAAGCGGCCGAGGATGCGGTTGGGCCCCTGTCACCTCCCCGCCGGGCCCCGGGGCTGCCCCTCAGAAGGGGCTGTGGCACAAAACCCCTTTTAGCGGCTGTGTGGGAAACCGGGGGGGGGAGGGTGCCCGTCACGCATAAACCCGGATTTTGCGCAGGGAAGCGGCTCTGTCGATAACTCGGCTTGCTCTGGATTCCCCACGGCGGCCTTTCTCGTGGGCCTGCCCGCTGCTTTGTGGTGTACTGAGCTTCTTCCCCGCGAAGTTGTGCCTGGGTGGTGGCTGCACAGCCCTGAACCTCGAGGAGTGTTTGTAGTTGTAACCAGAAAAAAAAAAAAATGAAGGCAACACGAGATCCAAGGGTGTTTTGATTATGAAGGGCTTGCTTAAGATGCTGGTGCATCAAACAAAACCAGCATTATTTGGCCTAGAAAAGTAAAGATCCTTTCCAGACCCAGGCTGAGTGTCATGAGCAGTATATAAGTTCGGATTGTTCTGTCATCTCTTCCCCTCTTTCTCACCGTGTTATTTGCTTCTCCGGCACCTTGTTGGAAAGCTCGTCCTGCTGTATTTACAGCTCACAAAAAAATACTTCAGCCTGGCACCAACACAAACTTCCTTCTTTATCAAAGTCTCTAGTTCCATGTCCTGTGTACCACAACATATGTATGTTGCTGTAGTCTGATCTCTATTGCGGGATCCTATATATTCCGCTATACATATATTGTGTGTTCAGCTTCGGATTTACTATAATAAACTTTTCAAGTTACCTGAGCCTAAACCTGCCCGGCTTCTGCCAGAGCTACCGAGAGACAGCTAGCCTGGTTAAAGGGATTTTTAAGTCAGGGGTGGGAGCCACTACTCTTCTTTTTGTAGCTTTCCGTGTTCCCTGACGTAATCTTGGGAACTTTATTTTCTCCTCAGCTACTGTCAGACCAAAAAATGAAGTAGAACAGAAGCAACTATGTGCTTTTGGGGAGTATGTGGCTGAGATTCTGCCCAAGTATATCCAGCAAGCACAGGTAAGTGCTGTTTGAGAAATTGTTCTTGTGGGGGGGAACAGAACCCAGTGAACACACTACTTGTTTGTTAGCTGTTTTCAGGAGTTGTTCTGGAGAAGAAGGATTGTTAGAATTACATGAAGGTTACTGCTATTATTAAGCCCCTTCATCTGATGTCATTATGTGTCTCCTATACCTTATGCTCTCTTTGGGTGTTCTGCTGGGCGTTCATAATGTTGGATCCTGTTGGTGTTTGTACTCATGCCCTTGTCGCTGTTTTCATCAGGTGACCTGTTTCAATGAGCTGGAACTTCTGATCCATCCAGATGGGATCATTCCAGTTCTCACCTTCCTTCGAGATCACACTAATGCCCAGTTCAAATCCTTGGCTGACTTGACTGCTGTTGATGTCCCGTCTCGGCAGTACCGCTTTGAGGTAAGAAGTGCTCATATGTGCAGGACTCTCACAATTGTTGATGGATGTGGGTGCTGTTGCAGCTCTGACCATGTTTTTTGTTTTCTGACAGTGAAAGGACAATCCGCTCTGAAATACTGGCTTTGGTTTAATCTGTTGATCCTAGAAGTAGTAGCAGAACTGATACTGTATGGGTTCTTAGTCTGACTTTCCTTTTGTGCTCTGCTGAAAGTCTCTCTCTCTTTTTGTTTGTTTGTTTCCCTTTTTTTTTTTTGGTTTAGTTTTGGTTTCACCAAAGTGTCTAGAGACTTCTTTCTGGCCAGATGTGAACTGGTGCTCTTCCATCTTCCAATTAGGCCTGTCCACTGCTGTTGTCACCACAGCTGAACATGTTTTTCTTTAAATCCCATCAATCTTCTCAACAATTTTCCTCTTCAAAAAAAAAAACCAAACAAAACGAAAGGCTATTTAGTTGCGTTGGTCCTGAAAGTCAGGACCACATATGAGATGAAGCAGATTTTCAGAAAGCTCTCAGAAGATTTCAGGCAGTGAACTTCCACTGACACTGAATTTCCACTGACTTCCAGTGAATATTGCAGATTTGGTTCCCACAGATTCTTTTGAATATCTTGCCGTATAGCTTTTCAGCTGCAGAAAAATTGCAGGTGCAAATAGAAAAGATACATCTTTGGGAAACCACAGCATATTGTCTTCTCACCTGCTATTAGAAAGCTTTGTTCACAGTATTGTTGCAAAGATGTTATTGTAGTATAATTTAGTAAGATCAGTAAAAGGCAGTGGCAAAAAATACCTAGGGCTCACATGCTGTAGGAGGCTGGCTGTGTTTTAGGCAGCCTTATGGGTTAAGAAATGTCTGTCTTCTCCTGTCTAACCTGGGCAGACTGTCTTGGGCAAGAGAAGTGAATTGGTAAATTTTTAGTTCCTAGCAAGTAACAAGGATAATGAAGAGTAGCTGATTTTTCTTCCCCCTTTGGTTTGTCTTGTGATATTAAATCACTTACCAACAACTACCGAGAAAGCAACGGGTGGCAGGTTTGTGTTACCTATATTAGCTAATCAGATATCTGTTGTTTTTAAATATAGCTCCTTCTTCCTTTGCTAATGAGAGCTTTGACTTTTAGTAACATAACTTGTGATTAAGCAACAATCCTGAGAGTTGCAGAGAGAGTTTCTTTAACTGAAAGGCCTCTAGTCTCTGAAGAAGTTGAAGATTTTCTTAATTCAGGATTTTTCCTTCAAAAACCAAGGTAGTAGATTCACAGAAGTAATAGAAATATACACCTTAATGAATTCACCTTTTCCAGCCATCTTCACAGAGGCAGTATCAAACAAGGCTACACAATTTCTTACAAAGGTTTGCGTTTTTTTCTCAGTCTGCTTGTGGTAAGTATTCCTGCTCCCCCTTCTCCCCAGCCCCAGAGGTTCTAGTAATCCTCATAAGCAGCCTTTTTATTAGTACTTCATCACCAGAAGAGTTATAAATTTTCCCTGGTATCCAACCACTTTGCTGAAAATTAAGTGTATTTCTTCTTTGCTTTCTCCCACTGGATGCTGAGAGTAATTGATAGCCATTTTCTTTGTGACAGACTGTTGAAAGACTATTGTCAAGTGTCTCCATCACTTCAGTATTCTCTTTTTTCTTAAGTTTTAGTATCCCTCTTTACTTCAGCTCTTCTTCATTCGTCATGTTTTCTACATCTCACATCATGTTCATTACACATCTAAGGACCAAAGAATTAAGCTATTGGAACCTCAGCTCTAGTAATGTCTTTTAGTGCCCAGCTCTGAAGCGCTGAATGTGATTCTGCTGATAAGTAATATTTGAAATAGTCTTTGTGTGCCAGTGCTTTCTTTTATCCTGCTTCAGATTGTGTACAATCTCCTGTCTCTGCGGTTCAACAGTCGGATCCGTGTGAAGACATACACCGATGAGCTGACGCCTGTTGACTCAGCGGTGTCTGTGCACAAGGCAGCAAACTGGTATGAGAGAGAGGTGCGTGCCCGGCTACTTGGGAGCAGGGCCTCTGTGGAGGGGGGCTGTGTTTCCCTGATTAAACTGATTCCCAGGGCCCTCAGGAAGAGAGAGAGAAGTGTTGCCCTGGCTGCCTTTTCAGAGTAGGAGGTAAAAGGGTGTTTGGTTTGCTTTTGAATGAGTTCCTACATCAGTTTCGCTGGCACTGCACAAAGCCAGGCATGTAACTGAAATTTTATGGCCGTAATACATGAAGGATTTTTTTTTTTTTTTTTCTAATCCAACTTGGCTCCCTTTCATTTAGGTTTGGGACATGTATGGTGTTTTCTTTGCCAACCACCCTGATCTAAGGCGAATCCTCACAGACTATGGGTTTGAGGGCCACCCTTTCCGGAAGGACTTTCCACTCTCTGGTTATGTGGAGGTAGGAGATACGCTCATGTCTAAAGTTACCAAATCTTTCCAATACTCTTATCTCAGTTTTGGTACAGAGATGTGACTCCTTTACAATCCTTTGTCTGAAAGGCAGTAAAGGTGATTCACTTGTCTGTAGTCCAGAGGATTTGTATAGCTCTTCTGCATGGAAATTTGAAGTCATCACAAAGTGTCATCCGTAATAAGGCAGCCAAAGGCCAGAGACATTGAGCAAATTTCATGTGCTGTATAACAGAGACATTTGTCAGTCAGAGAAAGTGCTTCTGCTTTTAGCTTGTCTTCTGGAAGATTAAACTTTCCACTGCAAAACTGGAGATTCCCAGAGGAATAAAGGACTGAACTGATCTTAATGCAGTTGGAACTGCATTTTGTTGAGTTTTTGTAGGCCTGGATTATAAAACTCTAGTTGAACTGATTCTTGCCATCTGTCAGATATTTACCTCTGTATGTCAAACCACAAGTGAAATGAGCATATTTGATACTTGTCTGGTTTCAAATGACAGCCTTGCAGAAGCAGTTATATTTGGTGCACTTCTAAGACTGTCTTGAGTCTCAGGAGAAAACAGTGAGGTTCTGCAAGTCACAGAGGGTTTGAAGAAAAATAGAAATAATGGCAGAACCTGCAAGTGAGGACCACGCAGCACCTCCTGAGCTGTGGTTTGGAAATCTGGACTGGCACAGTGAGGATGAAGCAAGCCAATTGGAGGTGTCTGGTACTCACCTGCGTTTCACCCTGGTTGTCTTTTTGTCTCGTGTTATGCTAAGAAGCACAACTAAAACCGAACAAGCTGCCATGTTATAAAAATTCATGGGAGTAGTCCTTAGCTATGGCAGGTGAATGGGCCACCTTATTTCAGTGACTGAGGAGAAATTCCTTTGTCATATGACAAACTATGTGTTATTCCATATGGACTGTAGGCTGGGCCCTCCTAATTCAGGGTGGTTAGTCAGGACACCTGAGATACTTGGTAGCAAAGAGAAGGGTTTTCCTGCTGAGTCCAGAGGTCTTGGTGGCATCTGGAGGGCTTTTGTTTAATAATGAGGAGAACTGAAGCTGTGAGAGAGGCCTGTGGCCTGTCCAGGGCATAAGAAGTAGAATTGCTCGTAGCGGAGGGCGCTCTGGGTCACGGCTGCGTACAGCTCACAGCTATCTAAAAACAGTAGGTACAGTTTTGCAAGAGACTGGATGAAAATGACTGGCCTGTGTCCTTTGCACTGTTCTAGGTGCGGTATGATGATGAAGTGAAACGGGTAGTGGCAGAACCTGTGGAGCTCTCTCAGGAATTTCGCAAGTTTGATCTCAATAGTCCTTGGGAGGCGTTTCCGGCCTATCGTGCAGCTCCAGAACCCCTGAAAATAGAAGCAGGAGCCAAGAAGGAGGAAGATGCAAAATAACAGCAGAGTGGAGCGGATGCACAGCACTGTCCTTTCTGTTCTGACATAATATTTATGATAATAAAAATTGATATGAGATTGCCTGTTGTGGTCCCATGAATAATGCTGTTTTCAAACTAGGTGAAAAGCACAGGGTGCTAATTTCCAATCCTGATAACCCAACTGGTAGATGTTTATCTGCTGCTCTGAGTTGTAAAACACTGGATTTATCTTTTTCGTTTGCAAATTGAACAGGGTCCAGGCGTTTCATGTGACTAAAATGCTTTATATACACTGCTTCTGTTCACTGTCACTGCAGGCATAATTCATAACCTGAGCACTGGTAGGAGACTGTACTGTGTAACCTGAGCAATGGGACAGCAGCATCTCAGCTCCAAGATGGGTGTTGGGAAAACTGGGATAATACAGCAAACAGTCAAGGTTTTTGTAAATGGTTCTAATACGGTTGGTTTTAGGACAGCACAAGATGTGCCTGGGTCCAGACCTAAACAATTGTGGAAACCTCTGCGTTGGTTCATTGGGAATTAGGTCAGTGCCTGTTCTCCTGGCAGAAGGAGCAGTTGCAGGTAACGTCTCACGTGCCACTCCCTCGTGCTGGCTTTTTCTTCACAGTCAATTAGTCTCTACTTTCTCCAGTATCTTCAGATTGTGCTTTTCCCTGCAGTCAATATCTTCTTTCCTTTGTCCCATAGACAAGAGTCCATGTCTTTTTGTCACTATTCCAATTATTTTGAGCTGTATGATATAATAGCCCTACCACTGTCTTTGCTCTTGTGGAAAATCTCAGCTCTCTCCAAAAAAGCTGGAAAAATATCGTAGTTTCAGTCCACCCGCCACCTCTTTGAAGGGGATCACATTACAGCAGTCATCAATTAATAATGTCCTTTGTCCTTAGCCCAGAAAATGCATAACGCAGTTCTGCATCGGAAAGTTGACTGACCTCATTAAGATCTGAAAAGTACAAGAGATTTCATAAAATAATTCACAAGCTGTTTGTAGAGATTCCATGAATCGCTACTTAAGCTTTTAAATTTTAAGAGCACTAATTAAAAAAGGGGGTTGGGGGATTATGGGATGGAGGAAAGGTTAAGACAGTAATAAATTCAGTTAAGGAAAAAAAGGAACAGGTCTCCATTGTGACTGGAATGTGATCTGTTTTCAAGAATAAAGAGCTGAACTGTATGGTAAGAATCAGGTTTCATGTTTGTCTGTGTCTACCCCAGCCTTGTAAGCATGGGCTTCTTACTTTTTTTTTTTTTTTTTTTTTTTAATTTATTTCAGACTGCTGTGGCCGGCAGTCTTTGGGATGTGACTCAGAACAGTGGTCTGCAGTTAACAGCATTTGCAACTCACCTTAAAAGTTACAGCTCCTTATAGAAAAGAGGAAAGAGAAGGGGACACAGCAGAAGTTCGGGGCGTTATGTACCTCTTAGCTCCACTTGATCTGCCATCTATTGAGCTGGTTAAATAGGAAATGTAGTTTTAGCCCTTCCTACAACACGTTCCACAGCTGGTTCTGTTTTCTGTTGCAGTGGCTCTTTTTGCACGGAGATGCCTATTGCACAAGACACAAAAGTTCCTGGCACCACTTCTGTTACTGTGAAAATTCTTTGTAAAGCACATTTCCCCCTCCACATTCTCCCTCCCCCATCCCAGGTTGCTTGAGGCACCGTAAAAAAATACGTATTTCCCAGTACAGTAGATCAGAAGACTGATGGTAGCAGGAACAGAAGGAAAACTGCTGTTTAAATATAATGTCTGTGCAGAGGGAGAATTTGATTGACGCTACATCGGGAAACGTTAGACACAATGCCCTGTCAAGTCGGACAACACGCAACGTTTGCTGAAGGATGTGTGTTCCAGAGAAGCAGCCAGCCCTGTGGGGACAGGCATTGGCTCCAGCAGATCTTTAATAGGTGGAATAGTTGGTAATGGACCCAAATCTCCTCGTTAGAGAAGCCTGGGAGGTTATGAAGGGCGCACTTCGCTCGCCCGTCCCGGGGCACGAGAGGTCACACAGCCTCACAAGGTACTGCCAGTGTTGGCCCATTACTCCTCCGCTGCTCCTGGGCTCCAGGGGCTCTTCTTGCCGATGGAGCCTGCTCTCTCTGGGTTCCTTGTGCCTCCTAGGGCACTCGCTTCGTGCTGGGCAAGGCCGTGGTCAGCTTGGTCAAGCACAAAGCTGTCTTTGGAATCCTCTGTCCCTGCCTGGTCCAGGCTGCCAGCCTCCACGAGGCTTGTTGGCCTGGGCTGGATTTCCCAGCTGTAGGAGGATGTTGGATGAGATGGAAGTCAGATGTCGCTGACTTACAGACACACTCTTCAGAAGATTTTCTGGTACTGCGGGGCCAAATAGACTGTAGGTGATGACTCACGGTCACCACGCTGAGCTTCTCCAGCTGAGTAGGTTTTGCTGGTGTTTTCCAGAACTCTGGCATTTCTCCCTGCAGCTGGGCGAGCAGACTCTCCTCCCTGAGGATGTGGCTATTGGCGGTGTCAGGGTGTCCTCCGTCACGCCCACGTAGTCTGTATGGACCCTGACAATTGATCCCCCATCAAAATCCGGATGGGGATTTCAGCTGGGCCTTGTGCTCCTGCAGAACAGCGCCTACGGGAGCGCTGAGGGACAGGCTGGGTGACAGCACGCCCCACATCACCCGTCACACTGCGTGCTGTGACATCTTCCCCTTACACAGCCTGTTACTCCTTCCAGCGGCGGATGCGGCTCACAAAAAGACAAGGAAAGGATTTCCATAAGGACCAGCAGCACCGTAAGTGGAAAATACCAGTATAACAGTGGAGGTTCTGTCTGGTTATGGTCAGTGCTTCCCTCCTACTTTCCTCAAGGTTTTCTTCCTTCTTCCCCTCCAGTGACTCAAACCACATCTTCCCTGGAAGCCACGTATGTACTTCTTCTTTCCAGTCTTTCCTCAAACTTCTCCTCATCCTCCTCCCCTGAGCATTTGCCAGACAGGCCCAGGCTGGGGATTGTGGTCTCCTCAAGTTCCGAGTGAGATGTTTGAAGCAAGAGATTTCTCCAATTCTATAAGGAGAATTTCCCTTTCCTGAAGACGCTGCCTATCTCCCTGCAGAAACCTTCCTCCCAAAGAGACTCTTCTGGTGCCGTATTAACCACACCTCGTGCTTCAGCCAGCACCCAACCAGCTCCTACAGTTTTTGACCCCTCCATGTCTTGTTCCCCTTTCCCCTCTTCCTGCTTTGGGAGATCATGGTGGAAACAGTGACACCGGTCAAGGTGCCCCTGCAGAAACCTGGCTTGAAGTGACGTATTGAAATGGCTCCTACAACAGACGGTATGACCAGGGGGAGTGCAGAGGGGCAGGGCCGTGCACGTCCAGCTGTGAATACCTGGTGAGGACAGAATCCCTCAGGAGGAACCGGTGCACTGCCTGACATTGCCATCGTACGTGCGGGGACTATGTGCAGTTGTTAGAAATTCAGGCTTGTTTCTGTGCACCATAAAACTACTGCTGCTTTACAAACAACCAAGGCATCTGTTTATCGATCTGCAATTGCCTTTCTGCGCAGGATAGTGAGGGGGTTCTGTAAACCCCCCCTAGCTCAGGGCAGCATCTACCACTGATGCTTGTCCTCAGCTTGCCACTGTACCAGTCACCTAAGCACAGCCTCTGAGCCTCCTCCCCTGACCCCCCCACCAACATGGGCATCCACCTTTAGCCACTTCACCAGTAAAGCTGTTCCTAGGAAATTTTCCTGTTGACAGAATCATAAAAGGCCTTCGCAGATGTTGGCCAAAATCCTGGTCTGCTCCTTGTGTCACGTGCTGCATGCTAAAGGGAGGCCACTTCATGCCCCATGAGATGCAAGGGGGTTTTTTGCATGGTGACTTCTAGATCAAGTCACGCGTACTTCGTGGATTGTAAGGGACTGGCACAAAACAGAAGGCACATGAATCTCACTGCACAGATGGGTCATCAGCGTCTGGCTCTTGAGTAGCATGTGATTGACAGTTTAATAAAAGTTATCTCCTCCCAGAAGAAAGGGATGCAACTAAAGCATAAGCAGCAGAAAATAATGAAAACTGAAAGAAGTGGAGCCTGACTTGAAGACAGCCGAGGCTATGACAGAAGCACAGTTCTTATTTTGATCCAAACCGAGGGTAAGAATGGCTTTGGCTATTGAGGGCCCCTCCTCCTATGACAAATCTGGGACTCTTCCATTATGTGCTGCTTTTCTTCATAGCTGGTGTGAGCCCACAAACTGCCAGGTGCAGCTACAGATCCTGGAAGTTTCAGCAGACGCGCTACATTGCACACTGACAGCTGCCTGACTGGAACATCACCCCTACCCTCCGTCAACTCTCTGGTGACAGTGTCACTACAAACGGACACCCTGTAACTTGTTGAGAAAAGGGTGCATTTCAATCCCACATCCTCAGACTCCTTTCCCCCCTTTAACCTGAGGGAGATGGTATTATTACTTATTTATACTCATTATTACACAACCCTGGCATCCCAGAACCTGTTGGGAGAACCCAGGACCGTACTGTGCCATACAGAGTAGAAATATAGAACAGTTTGACAGGGGCTCTGGCACTAATAAATCTGCAAAGTTGTGTGGAGAACAGATACCTGCTGTGAAGGGAATCAGATGAAGTTTCGTCTGTGTAATTCACAACATCTTAGGCAGACTGTGCTCATTGCAACCCAGAGGTCTTGTCACAGGAGAGGATGATGAGGTGCTAAAGCCTGGCTGGCTCTGATCCTTGCTGTTTGCTAGGTCAGTATATTGAGTTTTCCCTCTGGGAGGTTTGATACAGAACTGAACTAGTGACTTTTCTTCTGCCTGCTTGTATATTTTGGCTGCTACTGCCCTTCTGTGAATCTGCCCAGACTGCCGGCCTTATCTGTTTGTGACATTTTGGGATTGTTTGCAGATTTTCAAACTCAGGAAAATGGAAAACTGAAAATGAAGCCAAGGATCTAAGCAGAAGTGTCACGGAGATGTGACAGAGGTGCCGTGTGGAGGTGGAAGGGGCCAGGAGGTCCTCCCTTCTTCTGTGGCAATCACACGTAGCGAAGTCTCTTGCAACCGATAGCTTCCTATAATAAGTCGCAGTGGGAAATCAGTCTTTGGAAAAGAAGCTTGAGCAATTCTGCCAAAAACTTCACAACAAATTCTTCCAAGTTTCCAAAATACGATGGAAAATACCCTCCGGGTTCAGCGAGCTGAACTGCAAGCCCGTCCCGAGCCCGCGACCAGAAACACAGAAAGACGGCCCCGTTCCAACGGAGGCTGCTGGGACCCGCAGCAGCAGAGGGAAAGACGCCACAAGCGAACGGCTCTCGCCGCCTCCGGAGCTGCAGGGCTGCCATGGCCCCGGCGCAGCTCAACGCCTGGCTGATCCTCTGCGTGTTCACTGCATCCCAGAGGCTCGCAGGTAGGAGGGGCACCTGCCAGGCCCCGCGGGGCTTTTCGGCTTGGGAAACCCTCGGGCAGCGCCAGGAGCCCGACGCTTTGCCTCCTTCTTCGAGGATGGCCAAAGGCTTCGGCCGGCCGAGACCCCGGGGGAGAGCTGGGGTCCCGGCTGGGCCTCTTCGCTGCGGGAGGCGCTTGTGCTTACTTGCAAGATGAAGACCTGCTGCTGGTTTTGGCGGCAGTGGGGGGAGGGTTTTCTTGAGTCTTCACTGAAAAAACTCTGCTCCTGCAATGATGTGCGTGGATTTTCCAGGTGCTTTTTTTTTTTTTTTTGGGGGGGGGGGGGGTGGAGGGGGAAAACCCAAAACCTGTTGAATGATAAAGTAAGTAAGGGACCATTTTCCCATCTCCAGAGGATATTTTATGCTATTATTTCAATACATTATTTGTTATGCTTTGTTCAGTTTTTGTTTTACTTTACTCAACATTCCAGTGCTGCATATATTTATGACTAATATTACTAATAACAGCAGTTTGGCAGCTATTCACCGACTTTGCTGCTAATCAGCCATCTCTCAGTAGAGGGATCCGTGAATTTAGCAGAGCAGTTAGAAGGGAGAAGACCAGCAAAAGAGTTTTCAGATGCTGCTGTTTTTTTACCTGAGCTATAAGCCTTGCTGGTGCATCCATGGAGGGGTAGGAAAGAGCGGTTATGTCCCTGCTCACATTCCAAAGCCACAGCTGGCTTGGATCAGGGAGCCTGCAGCTGTGCAGAGAAACAAAGCTCCACAGCCTGGGGGGTGGCGGTGCACTTGCACTTCTTCAGGCAGCTCGTACATCTCCCTGAAAAGCTTTAATCAAGAATGGAACGTTGGAAGCAGGGTTTGATAGTAGTCATCACACACACAGAGTATTAAATCATTTTTCTGCTTTTTGTAAACAGCTACTGACCTTAACTCTGGAGTACTCAACATAAATTATCTTTTTTTTTTTTTTTCTATAAAAAAGCCTTCATCCATATAAAAATGAAAAAAAAAAAAAAAAAAAAAAAAAAAGATGTCAGAGAGCTCATGTTTCTTGGCCTGAAGGATGAATCTGTAAAAAGTAGAAGAGGGTTTTGGCTACATGACTACACTGATCCATACAGAGAAGGGGCGGATGCAGCCTTCCTCTCACAGTCCTGGGCCAAGGCCACTCGTGTCTCCTTTTTCACAAAGAAAGAAATAATAAAGGCAAAATAAATGCAGAAAGTTAAAGCAACAGGTCTGTTAGTAAATGAAAATAGAAGAATTCTTAGGATTAATGGGACTCTCATATTAATAAACTCCCATTCCTCTGGCTTCGTATCCAGTTTTCCCAGTTTAAATGATGTCAGGTGGCCAAGCAAGCTATTAGCTGGACATGAGAGGAGCTCGTAATGGCTCCGGCTGGGTTTCTTTTACCCTCACACTCTGACCCTGCCAGTGGCAGATTACCAGGGGCGAAGTATAAAACCAGGATAAGCATTAGGTTATGTTTCTACCAGCAGGTCAAGGAGCCTCCCAGCACCCTCCTTATGTTGGGCAGTGTTACTTTCCCCAGCAAAAACCTCCAAGCAAACAAAACCCAGCAGTTCAAACCCCACCCATATTTGGCATGAGGGGCTTCCTTGCCGTCTGTCAAAGCAAGTGCCTCTGCCGCCGTACGCCTTAGCTCTTTTGGCAGGATTAAAGGCCACCAGATCCAAAATTTACACTCGCCTCACTTAACCGCGTCCGCTTCTCTCAAAAAGCTTGTTTTGCTTATCAAAATCCCATGGTCAGCATCTGTCCCGTTTGGCAAGTTGTGAGTGGCAGCTCAGAAATACGAAAAGGCATTATTGACAACCCCAGGACGAAAATAAACAGGGAGGGCCACGGTCTTGCGCTACCAAACTCTGCCTGATGTCTTCCAGATGAACATCCTCACAGCAGGGACGGCGCCGGCACCACCCCACCCCGTCGCGCCCCTGAGGACATTGACGTCATGTTCGAGGTCTCCTGGGCGTTGGGGGCCCGTGGGCCGAGGCACTGCTAGCGCCCACGCTCCCACCTGCCTGCATGTAAAAGCTCAACACGTTCTGCTCGCTCTCATCCCTGACAGATTCCGGGAGTGCCTGGAAAACCCCTCAGCGGTGCCCGAATTGTGTTTGTGCTCCCTCCCATTGCGGGGTGCAGCTGAAGGGGGGTTTAACACCCCACCCCACCCCCCTCCCTCCGTGGCACCTCACGGGGTGGGACAGGGGACCGTCCCCGCTGGGTTGGGTGACTCTCCCACCAAATGGCCAAGCACCCCCCCACCCAAGGCAGCCGTGGGCTGCGGTGGGAGTGGCAGGGCGGGAGGCGAGAGCTGGGTGGGTCCCACGGGGAAACCGAGGTGTGGAGGGGTCAGAAAAGGGGTGCGGGGCTGGCGGGGAAGGGCACGGAGTGGGACGAGGCGGGCCGAGTCAGGGAGCGGCCGCCTCGCGGTCCGGCCCGAAATTTGGCAGCGTTGCGGATGGCTTTCCAGCTGGCGGAGGGGGTTGTGCTGGGCTTCCCCCCGCGCATGCTGCTCTTCTCTTCCAGATGCTCTGGGGAGGGCTGGATATTCAGGCCAACGGGACAATCCGGCTGCGGGATGAAGAGCTGGCCTCCCTGCGCCCGGCACGGCGGTTCACGCAGCTTTTAGAGGATGAAGTTCCCAAAACACCGGCAGAGATTGAACAGCATCTGAGATACTACTCACTGACTGACACCCACTTGCCTCTAGCAGAGTTTGACCGTCTTCTTTTCACCGGTGTTTACTGTGCCTATCAGGTTCGCTCCATGCAGGGTCTGGATAAAAACCTCTGGATTCGTTTTTTCTCTCAGCTGATTGATGAAATCTTTCGTGATCTGTGCAAGGGGCTCTGCCCTGCAAACACCACCCTCCTCCTGGCTTCCTGGCCCTGGGAGGAGAAGCCTTCGCATTTAGCACCCCTGAAACATTTCTATCGTTCTAACCTGGCCAGGACCAAGAGAGACAATAAAGGAAACTACTGTAGGAAAGGACACACCTGATTTCAGCTGCACCCATGGTTGTTTTGAATGCTTTCCGCATTATTCAGGACTGTGTACAAATATGACACACCTTTTTGTCCTGCTTTCTGTGTTGTGCTGGCAGCCCTCTAAGGAATTTATACACATGCTTTTATTTTTAAATGAAATAGGACAAAACTATAAAGTGCATTTCAACCTCTCCTGTTTTTTTTGCTTGTTTGTTTTGTGTGTGTTTTGTTTGTTTCTTTCTTTCTTTCTAAGGGGGCAGTGCTGTTCAGATGTGTTATCTATCTTGATCACTGATGCTTTACTGGAGAGATGCCCTGGCACTTTTTTCCTAGAATATTACACTGGTGTCCTAGCTGACTTCATTTCAGATAATTCAGGTCAGCCTCCTTACATTCCCCCTATGGTTTCAGCCAAATACACTACCTTTTCTCCTCTCCAGTAACCAGCTAAGCAGATTTTGTTCTGTTTCATGATACAGGTCACATATTTAATTTCAGCTTTCTGCTCATGTGGCACCACATTTTATATGTCCATAGTAATTTCCCATTTCATTTATTCATTTTTCTTTAAAAAGCAACCTGAAAATGTATGTATTCCATGAAGCTTTCTAGTATTTGCACATCATCTTTACACATGTACACCACTTTGTGTCAGTTATCAGTTTGGAATACACTTCCTCAAATCTCATTTAAATTCCTGAGGATTGTGACCTAGTTATTTCTTCAGCAGATTTTTCCTCTTCTATGAAGTTTTTTTTGTACAGCTACGGCACGCTGCAAGCCAAACATAATAAACACACAATCTCTATCCTCAGAATCAGAAATACAATTATTTTCTAGAAAGAGATCATTAACCTTTCTCTGTGTTACACATTGCAGTGTGGAATTAAATAAATGCAATTATCTACTTGGGAGGGTTTTGATTTTTTTTTTCTTTGTTTCTACTAGGTTTCCTGCTGCCATTATCAGTACATTAATTTTGAACATTCATTGCATGTGCTTAGGTGATGGGATCCATACTATCCCTTTCTATCAATACACTCCTAATTTTCCACTCTCAGCAAAGGAGGCATCTGTGACATTCAAAGCGGGAACTGCTAGCTTTTGACCTAGTTAATCTTTTTTCCAAGCTGTTGTTGCCCAACAGATGGAGAGGAGAAATGGTGAGGCAGGTGTAGAGAAGCCTGGAAGCATGATGCCACGGAGAGTGGTTTTAGAGGTCAGGTTAGGGCTGTGACAGGAGCAGATAGATTTACAGAGTTCATAAAGCAGGTTGTTTGGTTTGGGTATTTTTTGTTTGTTTGCATTTTTTTGCCCTAAAGGATGTAGGAATTAAGATTAGGATTTTAGCTGAAGTATAACTTCTAGTAAACTAGTGTCCCACCTAATATTCTTTTATTCTTATGCTGTTTTTTTACGCACCTCCAATCTCTACCCTTCATCCTTTTCCCCAGTCTTCAATGTCTAGGATATGTATGGAGTGATGGAGGCAGAGAATGGCTGCAGAAAAATCCAGTTCAAGCAGAGAATAGCATCAAAAAGCTGAGCTGGGATGGCACTAGTGCATGAAAATATTGTCCTGCTGGAGAATATACAGTCTGAGCTTTATCAGTGTCTGGATAAAGGTTGAGGGGGGTTGGCTCGGTGACTCAGATGCCAATACACCATTCTGAACTCAGGATTTGTTGAGCAGATTATAAATTAAACGCAAATGACATCACAAAGTTTCATGCATGCTCAGGATGATGCACTTTTGCAGTTTATGTATTTTGGGAGACAAACCAGGCTTTAGCTCAACCGAAACAGCACCGATAGCACTATGATGAAGCCTCCAGCCCCCTCCTTTCCTACTACCCCTCCTTGGTGGATCCCGTCGTCAATCCTGGCTGCCCAGTAGGAACACACCAGTGTCCTCTGCAGCCACACCAGTCACTCTCCAGCAGCACGATGGCCCGGCTTACACTGTCTGTAAGAAACCACTGGAGCACAGATGCTGAAAATACCACTTAATGGTACCTTTGATCCCATTTGCACCAGGTTACTGACACAGCATATGGCAGGTTAGCCATACCATTGTGTTCAAGGAGCTCATTTCTGGAGAACGTAATGCCTCTGCAGTCAACACCGCCATTGCATTCCATGATACTACTCACACTTCTACCTTATGAGCCTGCTCCTGACCCAAATACTAAGAGATTTAAAAATACATTTTTTATTTTTCTTGCCTTGTTTCTGAGCTTTCAGAGGATGGTCCGTTTGTAGGTTTGAGCCCTCATCCTTTACTAGAAGGGCTGGAAGCCTGCTTTTTTGTCCGTTTCTAAACGTACTGTTTTCATTAAATGGAAGCTGAGATTCTCAGACAGAGCTTCTTGACTTCACCGACGTCAGATTAAGAAAAGCACCAAATATCGTGAAACTTGCAATAAAATCATAAGAGGTACCAACACTTCACACACATGAATGATAAAAAAGAGCGTACACAGAGAGGCACTGTACCCATACAGCAGCTCGTACGATCACCATGCTGCTTTCTTTCCTGAACAGGTACCTCAGCCAGTGACAAGCACACAAGTCTCACAAGTAACAACAAATTCCAATCTGGGAAAATTTTACATCTTTTGTATTTTTAATACATTCATTTCCATTACATTTATTCCCTCCCCAGATATGCAAGGAAAGTCACCACCTCCTTTGCCTTCTGGATGCTGGGGATCTGCAGCCACATTACTGCTGTGGTTCTCTGATCCTCAGCGTCTCACTACCCTGCCCCACCCCTGCCCCACAACAACCCCATGCTTTATGCTTAAATCAAACACCAACACAGGACACACACATACGACCTATAAAGACCTTTGTACGGATGAATGGGAGACACAGCAGTGGCCCTGCAGATGGGGCACAAGCGTGCAGTGTAAGGAGAGCACTGGACATGTGAGAGCATGCTCAAAGTAGAGGATGATACTCAAAGAGGAGCTGTACCCAAGTTCATGGCACCTCGGCTTTTCTTGTGCTCCTTCCACATCTGCATTTAATTATTTGACCCTTGGGGTGAGCTGGCACCTGGAAGCCGCTTTGGCTGAGCCTCTGAATAGATCAGGAAGCCCGTGAAGGTGATGTACTTGCCATGGTTGCTGTAGGCACCGTAACCATCGTGCTGATGGCTGTAGAGCCAAACGGTGTCCCCTGTTTGCAGAGGCAGCATGATACTCTGGCTCTGCATCTCCCGCCTCTTGGAGTGGTTGTCATCGTAGATCATGGCCTGCACCTCATTGTGGTTCTTCATAAGTTTCACTGACATAGTCTTAAAGGGCATTTTGCCAATGGTGAAGGAGAAATAGTATGCACCAGGTATACGGCATGAGAAGACACCAGTGGAGGAATTGAAATCTTTTCCAATGTTCACAAACTCTGTGTCAAATGTGATTGGCTCATGCTGGGTTTGCTTGTCATCTGTCCCCAGGAGACTCTGTGAGCGGGCCACAGAAAATGCAGAGCGAGGGTCTTGTTCCCTGTTTGGTTGATCAGATAACATGTGTCGCTGTGAAGCTTCATTCTGCTCTCCGGGAAGCTGCTGAACAGCGTGATGGTGTGGCCCCAGCTCTTGGGAGCTAAGAGCATTCTGGAAGAAGGCAGAAGTGTCTGGATAGATTAGGTAGCCATTGAAAGTCGTGTAGGGGCCCACATTGCTGTAAAGAGCATACTTGGGATCTCCATGTAGACGCAGCCAAACCGTGTCACCGTAGTCAAGCTGCAGCATGGCACTCTGGCTGGCTACCTTCCGTTCCTTGCGGTGATGTTCATCATACACAATCACTTGCACTTCATTCTTGTTTCTCATCAGCATGACAGACAAGTTTTTCTTTGGGTATTTCCCCACAGTGAAGGAGAAGTAGTAGGCTCCAGGAATCCGACAGCGGAACAATCCAGTTTTGGGATCAAAGTCATTGCCAATGTTCACATACACTTTGTCAAAGGTAATGACCATCTCAGAGCTCCCTTCCATGCTGCTGGTTCTGGCCACAGAGAAAGCAGAGCGAAATTCAGTACTGGTGTCTGCTGTGAAGCCATCTGTAGGCAGAAAAATCATGCAGCAAAGGAAGCCAAACAGGATCTGAACCTTCAGTGTCATCATTGTATCTGAAAGGAATAAAATCCATATTTTAGCAGGAATATCATTCATTTCCAGCTTGTACTCCAGTTGAAATCCAGACCTGAATCTTGCTAAAGAGACATAAAGTTTTATGTCCAAATATCGAGAAGTTTCCAGTGCGTTCTCTGATCAGTGTACGGGACCATACCTCAGTTCAGATCCCTGCATCATTTTGATATTTTTCTAGCAAGAGCTGGACCTTCTTTCCCCTGTACTCATAGGAAGAAAAAGAATCTTCTCCTTTGGATGCCTGGCTATCCTACAACTTGTCTGCAAAACACTGTGTTGCTCACAATGCAAAGGGATCTCAGAGCTTGCTGGGGCTTTGCCAGAGCTCCCTTTTGTAGGTCTTATTCATAAGACCAAGGATGAAACAAAGCCCTACACAGACTCTGTATTATACATCTGAGAAACAGCTGAAGGGCGGGGAGAAGAGGACATATGCACTAGAGATTCCCATGCAAATCCCATTGCCCAGCACTGCACGAGCTGTTTCACAGGACATGGAAGCTGGAAGCCAAATTAAGTTGGTAGACCCCGTTATTCAGACAGACTTCACCATGAATCTGTGAAGAGTGTAAAGAAACTAGAAGAAGAGAGAATGTTTAAGGAAGGAAGGAAGGCAATGGAGAGAATAAATGAAATGAAAAAAAAAAAAAAAAAAAAAAGAAGGGAAACAAAAGATAACTAAAAAGCAAGTCTCCCAAAGTATAGAATACATGAGAGAGAACTGAAATACTGAAAACAGGGCAACAACTCCCTACCTGGATAATAGACCAAAGAGAAAAAAAACTTCGTTGACCCTTAAAGAAGAGGGATAAGTTAGGAGCTAATGGGATTTTCTGCTTCTAGTTTCTGTGATTTTTTTTTTTTTGGACTGAGGCCAAAATTCATCTATTAGTGCTTTCAGGCTGAAAACAAAACTGCCAGTCATTCCAGTGAGAAACTTCTCTCTCTGTCACTTCCCTGTGCTTATTAAAATATCATTCAGGCTGTGAGGCAACTGCCTGGTTTGCAGCCTGCCCCATCTGTCACCCCAGAACTGGTGTCTTGCCAGCCTGCAAACAATGAAATCACAGACCAGCAGAACAGGAGCAAAACATGCTACTCATTGAGGAGAGGGGTGAAGACAAATCCTGAAATAAAAAGAATAAAGGGGTAAATATTTGAATCAACTGAGATGGCCTAGTAATAGATGCAAAGCAGACAGGATCCACAAAGACTGTGAGGTCTCAATGAGATCCTGTTTTGCCAAGACGTGGTACCTAGAATCACTCACCAACAGGAATTCAGCTTGACCTACAGTCCCTGCTCTTTCACACTTGAGAATAAAACTGAAATCTGAAATGCAGCTCAAATAGATGTGAACTCAAGAATGAATTAGATTCTCGCTGAATTACATGGAAGTGACACACTAGCAAAGAGAAAAAGAAATATCTATCTGTGTCCTGTCCTAGTTTTACGTTAGATCACTTCTCTCACAAACATCTCAGTATTTTTCTCCATGCCCCTGAATTCAGAATGTTCTTCCCGACTTAGCCTGCTTCTCCTGAAGACATCCATGGAACCCCATGGACTGCACTGAATGGTGTTGAGAGAGCTGACTGACGTCATATTGAGGCCTCTCTCTATCATCTTTGAAAGGTCATGGAGATTGAAGGAGGTCCCTGGTGATAGGAGAAAGGCAAATGTTGCACCCGTCTTCAGGAAGGACAAGTGACACAACCTGAGGAACTACAGGCCAGTCAGCCAGTCTGCCTGTCACTTTGGTCTCTGGAAAAATCATGGAGCATTCTTCCCTGAACACATTTCTAGGCAAAGGACATGACATTTAGCATGGGTTGATCAAATAAGGGTAGATCATGTCTAACCAAACCGATTGCCTTCTTGTGAGAAGAGACCAGTGGACGTCACCCACCTTTTAGCAAGGCTTTTGTTACAGTCTCCCAGAGCATTCCTGTATCCAAGTTGTGATGTTACAATCTAGATAAGTGGGCTACTAGATGGGTGGCAAAACTGGTTGGATTGTCAGGTTCAAGGGCTAGTGTTTAATATTTAATTTCAGATGTCCTCTTTAATACTTTTTATGAATGACCCGGAGAAGAAGACAGAATGCACACTCATCAGAGTTGCAGATGATACCAAGACAGAAGGTTTGCCAATACATCTGGAGGCACAGCTGCTATTCAGAGGGACCTAGACAGGCTGGAGGAATGGGCTGAAAGGAAATTCAGCATTGAAGAATGCAAATTCCTGTACCTGGGATGGACTAACCCTGTGTGTTGGTATAGGCAGGTGACTAACTGTCTGGGGAGCAGTGCTACTGAGAAGGATCTAGGAGTCTCAGAGGACAATAATTTATACCTGAGTTAGTGCTGTGCCCTGCAAGTGATGAAGGCTAACAGCACACTGGGGTGCATCAACAGAATGTTGCCAGTAACGACAGGCAGTGGTTATTGCCCTTTAGCTGGCACTTGAGTGACTCCAGAAGACGGCAGCTCGGAGGGGTGAGGTCTGGAGCACCTGCCCTGTAAGGAGAGGCTGAGGAAACTGGGCTTGCTTAGCCCGGAGAAGAGAAAGCTTTGGGGGGAATCTAACAGTAGACTTCTGGTACCTATTGGAGAGGTTATTGAGATGACAGAGGTAGGTTCTTCACTGATGCGCATGGTAGGAGAATAAGAGACAAGGGTCATAAAATCCAAAGGAGAAGGTTCAGACCGGATCTAAGCAAAATAATTTCACGCTGAGGGCAATTAAGAATGGAACAATTTGCCCAGAGAGATTGTGAAATCTCCATCCTTGGAAGTTTCCAAGATCAGACTGGATTAAACTGTGAGCAACCTGGTCCGCATTCAGTGCTGGCCCTGTTTTCAGCAGGAGGTTGGACTAGAGACCTCCTAAGTCATGACTCCTGATTCTAGAACTGATTCCCATAGCTACTGCCTTCTCACAGTTGAAAATTCACTTTCTGCTAACCCTACCCATGACACTTACATGGAACTAACCAGCTGACGGCAGGGCTGACAGACAGCAAGTTAATTTAAGAAAGTACTTTCATCCGGCAAATTAATTTAAGAAAGTATTTTCAGTGGAACTATTAAGCCATAGCTAATTGCCATGCATCTGTTTCCATGCTGTCTTTATTTTTCCTCACTTTGCCATTTAGTTTGTGAACTCCTCAGGGCAAAGACTCTCTCTTCCCGTGTCTGTACAGCATTTGGCCATTGCTGCCATTTAAACAATACTAATAGGCCCTAACATCCCACCAAGAACTAAATCCCGAACTGTCACACTGTGAGCTCAGCCTCTGGTTCAGCAGTGTTATTTCTGCAGAGTGATACCTCCAGCACGGCAGGCTCATTTCAGCTTCCAGCTTAGAAAACCAAGCCCTTAAGGCACACTTATAAGGGCTATTAGATGTTTCTGATTCACACTCATCCATCGTTATGGCAGTGATCGCCATGGTGCGGCTGCATGGAGAACCGGGATGACTGTGACAGGGTTGCGCGCTCTTGAGAAATGAAATGATGAGAAAGGATTTGGCTTTTGTGTTTTTAGCCACACTGACCAGCCTGGTTCCCAAGCGCTGCCGGTGCTCCAGAGCTCGTTCAGCGTATCCGGGAGTCAGGGAATATACTGCAAGCACGTCGCTGCTGGCCAAAAAAAACAAAAAAAGACAAAACAGTTTGATAAACTCTGTAGTGTATCTGACCTCATGTTCTGTCAAATGGCCACTATCCTTGTTTCTGTCCCAAAGCTAGTTTCTCTGTAATAAGGTCACTTATTAAAGATTGCATCACACAGTTACAGTTGCAAAGACTCTCTGCTGCTGCTGCAGTCCCTTATTTATCAGCTCTTCCCAATAACTCACTGGCAAGTCATTTAAACAAGGCAGTTAATTATGCTGTGTTTCCATTAGCAAGTTGTTTCCTTGACAGCTCCCACTCACCACTTTCAGGACGATTTAGGTTCTTTATCTTTTAAAAATAATTTAGAAAGTGTCTAATAACTGCCTTTCACACTAAACCAGTCTAAGAATAATTTGCCAATCGTTAGGAAGACTCAGGGCTGCCACAAACTGAGGCAACTCATGACAACTCTTGGACTTGAGTATTAGCGTAGTGAGTCTGAAAGAGGAAAGTTCCAAAATGCTCTGTTGTTCCCCCCAGCAAACACTTCTGGTGCCCAAGCCTCTGACTGGGATAGCTTTCTTCCAGCTGGGAAGTGGTAGCACCAGGGATATGAAGCTGGCCACGGACACTGTGCTATCAGTATTAAGTTCATGCTGTGCCTTAAGTGAGGTAAAGACCCGGGCTAAAGGAGAAAAGCGGGTCTCCAGCATGGGTCATGCATGTGTCATACATAGCATGTGTCATATATAGCAGCTGTGTTATTCTCACTACATTTACACATGAATCAGGGCCCTCATCCCCTCCCCTACCATTCCTCAGCGTGGTAACACCACAGAAATATTCAGTGAGGCTAAGCAGACCCAAGGGATAAACAAGGAACGCTATTGCCTTTACACCAGGCAGTACCAACAGGGACAGCAGCCCACAGGGAAGAAGTCAAGAAACTAATTTTGGAACAGGAGGCACAAAACACATGGTGGAGCCAAACAGTTCTCAAAGGCACTGACGTTAAATTAATGACCTGAAAAGAAGGGGCTAAAATGGTAGTGACTCACCCAGCAGAACAGGAGTTGCAAATCTTTTTTGAAAAGAAAGAGGCAGAATTCACCACTGGTATGACCCAGGCAACTTTAATAGCTTTATGCTTGCTGGAGGTGATTTTTCTGTCCTGGAACAGAATCAATCCACCAGTGGAAAGACAATTAGCTTTACTCTTCTACTGGAATCAATGGATTTGCAACAGGACTTTCAATAATAGAAAGGTCTCCCCATTTCTAGACTTGTAGGCCAGATCTTCTTGTAAAACTCACGAGTTTTATTCCAAAACATTAATGAGCTAGATTCCTCAGTCCCACCTGAGGCAGGAGTCTTTTAATTTCAGTGGGAGTTTTACCCAGAAGATCACTGAAGAATGAGATATGAAACAAAAGTGAAGCAGTGCAGTTGGATTAACTGTTAGTAAAAGTTCTTAGAATCCTGTAAGCTGCAAGAGCAAAGCCCTGTTCTTCCTAGCTCTCACTCTAATATTTAAGGACAGCTGCAAATGTTTCAATTATTTGAATCAGTGAAAATCTGTGTAATGAACAGCCTTCTTGGACTATAGTTAGCAAGATTTTTTTTCCCCAGACACCACATACTGTCTGTTCCACTCATCTGATACAGATGAAGAGCATCAGATAATGATGCAAATGCATCACTTCTTCTAACATCAAGGAGAAATTAATTGTAGCAGATCCTCAAAAGCAGTATCTGTATAAAGAGTACTGTGTGAAAAAATCAGGGATTAGCTCATGGCTTTGGCCTTTCTCTGCTTTTGATGAATGTGGTTTTTTGAACTCTGGAACAATCCTGAGAGGTAAAACATCGTTTGAAGCATCCAGGATGCTTTCTGGAAACTATAAGCCACACTTTGAATGACAGAACTGTATGGCATTAACATATAAAGTACTTAATTTTAAATGTTTCCTTGAGTCAAGGCTGTCTTTTAACATAATACACCAGCTTCAGCGTACTCAAAGATCTGTGGAGAGACAAAAATTCTTTTGAAATGCCTCAACTCCAGCCATACTCAGGAAAAGGAAATGGAGAGACTGTATTTTGGCATAAGCCTCCAATGTTAGCCTGCACTTCAGAATATTAATTAATGCTATATTTCAACCAAAGCACTAACAACCCTATTTAAGCTAAAATGGTGATATATAAGATGATGTGTATCCACTGATCAAAATGGAAACACAGTAGTTCTGACACTAACATTTTTCTCCCTATAACAGCATTCAAGGAAATTTGGTATACACATTTGAAATGTCAGGGTGACACACTGTCTCTTCTGTTTTGCCTACTATGTATATAGAAAAATATATTCATTTAGGAGACAAAGTGGTGTTTTAGTAGAGAAGATGGATGAATAATCCCTAGGTGGGAGCAAGAAGCTATTCTAACAGACTAATGCTTTAAAATGTGATATATATATATTTTTTTTTTTTAACATCCTTTTTTAAATTAACAAATTACACAGATCCAACTCTACCACACACATGCTCCTCAAGCAAACAAGACTAAATAAAAGCTGGAAAGCAAAGGAACATACTCTAACACTGATCAGAACTGGAAGAACAGAAAACATTGTTAGAACATTTGAGTTTAAGCTGTAGTTCATAACATGTGTTGAATACTATAAAGCTGTTCTGCACATGCAGTCAAACTGTTGATAAGCCGTCGTTGAAATCACACCAGCAGTAAGTGGTGAAAAAACCTAGCTATTGCTGGGAACGAGTTCGGTGATGAATGGTTTCTGTGAAAGCATAGGCCAGAGAAGACTGGAAACCGCAGCTTGAGAAAGCCAGAGGGCTGTTGCTGTACAATGTTTATTTAACACTGCTACCTTTAGACATAAAACACTAAGCCCATTTCAACAGTATGTATTTTTGCATGGATCCAGTTACAGTTATAGTAATGCCAAAGTTAAACCATCGCTTTTCCCACCCCCAAACCTAATTTCCTTTTTTAGCCTGGTTTATGTGAGCGTTTCTTTCACCTGGCGTGCACGGGAGATGCTGAGTCGGTGGAACAAGGCTTTGTCGAAGAATCCCACCTCTCCAGGAGGAACCGGATTGCCACACCAGAAGGCAGATCACGCTGGCATAAAGGATTAACAGAGACAGTCTGGACTGGAATACCAGGAGGTATTTTGATTGTGAAAATAGAGTAACTGACACTTTGGCAGCATGTACCATAAAGATCTCATTTAAGACAGAGAGAAAGGCCCTTTGGCCAGTGAAAAAGCTAGCTCCAAAGAGAGAGAAAGGGACAGAGACCTCAGAGAATGGAGTAGAGGGCAATTTCATGGTTCCAGGTGGCTGGGCTGGAAGCCATGTAGCGGAGGACTTTTCCACAGAAGTCCTGGGTTTTTTTTTGCTTTGGCTGTGGAGGAAAAACCATATGAAGCACATGGATGCTGCCAGACAGACTGCCCCAGCAACAGACCTACCGGAGTGACAGACACCTTATGAAGCAGAATGCTGGGCACAAACAGTGCAATTCAGGCTATTCCAAAGGCAAATGGGAAATTATTATTTAAAAATGAACAAGACCTACTTACAGGGATGATTTTATTCTAGGCATCTCACCTGGTTTAAGATATTTAAACTACGGTAGTCTGCAGAGAAGCCAGTAGCCTGCTGAACTGCACATTGCTGGACTCTGTAGAAAAGCTTTTAAAAGATGCTTACAGACTAGAAGATATAGGACAGGGGGCATGGGTGATAAAAGCAAATGTAGCATAATATTTCTTACTTTTACTATGCTATTATAAAGTCTGGGAAAAAAAAAAAAAAAAACCACACACACAACAAACCCTGCAGGATTAAAGGTGCTAAAATGAACGAGTCAGCAAATAAATTGGTTCCATTTCATCATTTGACCAGCTGGAACCAACAAGCAAGATCCAGTTAGTATCACGGCAGTGCTAAAGGAGAACGTGAAGGGGAAGGTAATGGCTACAGACACCAAGAGAGACTCTCTTCAGAGGCAATGAGGGAGAATGTTTAGAAGTGTTTGCAGAAGATGTTGCTGGGTTGGAGGAGAAAACTGGGAATGTAAGGAAGACACAGATGAGTTCATTGTCATAGACCACTCCTGTAATTTTTCTCTTTTAGTAAGAGCTTGGGCAGGAAAAAAATGAATGTTTTTCCCAAGAACTAATGAAGCATGGGGACTTTAAAGGGTTGATGAAAAATGAAAAGGCCGTTTAGACGGCCCCACTGAACACAAGCTTGTTCTTAGGCTTTCCTGAAGTGGTGGTGTAGCTCACATCCTTAGGGATTCTTTTTTTTCTTTAAAAAAAAAAAAAAAGACAACTGTGCATTATAATCAATAGGGTAAACTGAGCAATGAATGACAAAGTGGAAACACTAGGTGGGCAGAGTGACACTAGAATCAGTACTCTGGAATCAGCTCAGATTCTATCCCTTTTATGCTTCCTGTTGGTATGTAACAATACTGTATGTAACAATATTACATACCATGGCTCAGCATTTTGACCCCACTTCCTTCCAGCGAAGGAAAATTTAGCTCTTGGGATAATCCCCACTCCTGTCAACAAATGCAAATCTAGAAACAGTTCAGAGACTGTAGGTAGGTATTTACAGTATTTACTATGGGTTGGTATCTACAGTATAGGTAGTTATTGCTTGATTTTTTTCAAACCACAGTTTCCTCAATACATCTGAGCAGCAGTTTCCTCCAATCCAGCTGAATGAATATTTTCATCCTCCAACATGCAGGCCAGAAGAGGAGGTTGCTCTGCTGTTCTCAGTGTTGGTGCCCGGTGCGACAATTTTCTTTCAATCCTTAACTGTAACAGACACTTATAGACATTAAAGGAAGTCTCATTACAATGAGAGTAAGTGTTCCAGTTAAACACGGGCTGTACTGGCTTTCCTTCCTGTTCCATACTGCCACTTTCATACACATGCCCAGTCATCTAGCAGACCTGTCAGGTACAGCACCATCAGCTGGGAAAAATCTTCTCTCTTCCCCCCATTAAGAATGAAAACAACTGCTAATAGTAGGTTTATTTGTCCAGGAACTAATAGGAACCTGTGGAACTTGGCACCCATGAAAGTGCACTAAATAGGAAAGTAATTTTGACTGTCCATACATTACAGGAATCACAACTTGTGTGCTATAACTTCCTGTTGAAGACTGTTGTACATGAGATTGTGGAGACATTGTAATCTGGAATCTGTGGTGTACGCTCAAGGCTTGTTCTCTATGCAATGGTTTTATGTCCTCAATTTCCTTTCTGTGAGTCTGTGCTCCAGCACTTTGTATCAACCAATATATGATTTTAACTGTTATGCAAGGTCCTAATCAAAAAAAAGGATCAAATTTTAGGTTTTTCTTGTCTGTTTTCTTCTCCAGATGCATAGCCACACCTTCTTTCTCTCTCTCTCACTTGAGTGGGCTCATAATTCTCATCTTTCCTGGAACTCTGTGCCTGCAGTCGTTGCTTCCAACCCTTTCCCCCACTCACTGGAATGCTGCCCTCCAGTCATTGCTCTGAGACCTGCCACATCACCCACCTGGGTAAAAGCTAGAGAGAATATTCTGGTTCTCTCTGGTTGATCATCAAATCCCAAGTCAGGATGAGCCTGTGGAGTCCAGTAGTCGTCCCCTAAGGGAATTAATGGATAGCTGAGTGCCAGCTTGGATTACACGCAACAGCAACAAAAAGCATTTTTGTTTCCTAGTCATGTCTGAGGTCACTGACTGCTAAGAGCTGATTTAGCAATGCAACCAAAGATGTTCACAAGTCAGGTAACTCTGTTTCCCCTCTCGATCACTTGCAGTTAACTGAAAACCTTCAGAAAGAATGAGATTTGGTTCCCTTTGCTTGATACACCAACTTGTAACACTATGTTTCATCAATGGAAGCATAATTGCTTTGGTCTTTTTATTCATCGGAGGCTGCAGTATAACATACTTTGAGAAAATGTCACGTGCTATTGACTGTTATTTTCTGACAGTAGGCTTTGCAGACCCGTCTGAAAAAGCTCAGTCTGTACTGGGGCATTAGCTTACAGGAATGCTGCTTTCCCTGGGAATTTTTTTTCTTGTCTTGACAGGTAAGGCAGGAAAGCATGCTGTCTTTTAACAGCTGCCATCACACTCAGCCAAAAATTCACATTCATTTCTTTTCATGCCCTGCTGTTTCATTACTGTGAAGATCCTCAGAGAACACTGTGAATTGCACTGCAGTGCTGCTCTTCACTGCCAACATGCTGCAACATCTCAATTTGGAAATTCACCGAGCTCTAGTTTAGAGAAGAAGGTGATAAAAGACATTAAGATCTGTGTATCTTCTGTCTCTGCTCTGGCATCTTCCTTTCTCCTACTCCTCCTGCTGGGTCAGGACACAGGTCTGGAGCTGGTGAACTGGGAAGAAAAAAGCATCATGCGCTCAGCACCAAAGCAGAGGCCAGTATTATTCCAGAATGAAAAGTCTGCTCTGCCAAACTCTGTTTGGGGAAAGGGAGGTGTCAATCAAAGTCCATGTACACTAATGAGTCTTTTTTCTGGTCCTGCTCTCTAATTGTCAGACAAGACAATCCTGTTGCTCTCATACCCGGTGAATTGGTAGACAGGTCAAGAAATAGTAATTTAAAGAATAATCATCGCATGTTACTACCCCCATTTTTGCCATCAGATAGTCTTTTGAGACCCAGACTTTCCTTGGATGGTACAGAAGTTATTGATTAACAATGAAATTTTGCAATATACATAGTGCTCTTCAGTCATTTTTCATGAATCAGGTTTATCAAATTCTTGGCCCAGTAGCATCCTTTATGTCTATAGATACACAGTTAAAAGTAGCAAAGTAAGTTAGCAAAGCTAGCCATTGCCATGTTTGCTAATACTGACCATTCACAACACACAGTTCCTCATTTCTAGCGATCTTTCTTGCCAAATCCCTTGTAATGAAACCTCTCTGAGGAACGCCTATAGACAGCTGGAACCTGGGCCTTTTCCATTTTTTAGCCATTTTACTAACAACTACTTCTCAGAAGGCTATAGCTGGTGCAAATGAGACATCCCAAGGCTGTGAATTGATAGCCAATACCTTCAGGAAAACCCCAGTTTCTGCTTCCACGCTTTAAACTCTGAGTATATTTTGGTCCATGGATTTAATCAGCTTGTCATCTCCTTCAACAGGATGATGTGAAGTTCTTCCCTTACAACCTGTACAGGTCAAGTTTTCACAGTTGTGCTTCTGAACTTGGATTTTTCGGTGACAATCCAACACAGAGGTGCTGCTGCCCACACGGCAGAGTCTAGTGCCCTGGCTGCAGGGACAGAGAGAAGCATTTTCTGAAAAATCTCCTCAATACACACAGTTTTACAAAGTTTTCCCATATCTGCTTTCTGGCTTTATATTGTTTCCAGTATTTAAAAAACACCATTCCCCTCATAATGGCAGTAGAAATGCTTGTATGACTATTTCTGTAAAACTCAGTCCGCACTGGGAAGCTGCTGGTGAAAGGCTTTGGCATTACCATCAAAAAGTGCTGCTGGACACTGCTGTTCACTCTTCAGCTCCTCATTCACAGTGAGAAAGCGCTCAGAGCCTGTCAAGTGTTCACAGATTCCAGGCTCATCTGTGTGACCAGCCAGCTTCCTCCTAGGCAAAATTGCCTTTGACAGCTTGAAGCTGCCACCTCTGATTTTTGCTTATAGGAAAGGAATTTTGCTAAAATACTGAAATAACGACTGCAGCAAAACACTGGCAGGTTTTACACAACTTTTAGACCCTGACTGGATGTAATAGGGAAAAAAAAAAGCATTAACATGAAAGATATGGCTGCTCTGAACACTGCTACGCACATGCTTTATTTAAAGCAGGCTTGGATATTGTTGCATTGCATTAAATATGCAGCTCATACTGACAGAAGTGCCATTTGCAATAGCCTACACAATTTCCTCACAACCACAGTGAGAAATTTCAGCCATGCACCCTAAATCCAAATGTTCACATTCAATTCATGTTTCAAGCCAGTGCCCTCGCTACTCAAACGCTTTCAGTCCCCTACTTTCCTTCTAGCTACTTCTAACACCTTTCCTTTTCAAAACAATTATTAACAGCTTCCAACAAAAGATTACCAGCTGCAGAACCCCCTCCAGCATGTTCAGTAGTTTTCTGCCCAGCCTGTCTCAGATTTCCTCCCAAGTTTCCTAGAGAACAACCCCTCCATCTTGTTGCCTCCTCTTCCTAGTAAAAAGGAGATTTTTTTACATTAGTTATCCTTTGCTTTATCTCCTTCCAGAACCCCTTTATTCCAAAGCTGAACCTCCTTTAGCATCAGGTCACAGTAAGCCTTCTTTTGGATACCCTTGCTGTCCCACAAATAAAGACTGGGTTTTGTATATGAGAAGTAAGGAAAACAAAGGGAAGGGTGGGAGAAGGAGCGACGAAATAAACTCCGGCAAAGCAATACAAGCTAATGTGAAGCACTGATCAGTCCTTGGTGGAAGGGATGTGAATTTTCTTTGAAATATCTGGGGCATCAAGTGACCAGCTTTCTAAGCAAGTCATTATTTTACCCAAAGTGTTCAAGCGACAATGGAAGATGGGGGCAGGGGGAAAAGCAATCAGAGCTTATATAGTGTCACAGTTTGTGCTCGCATATCCAAGAGTAAAACAAAGTACGAGGATTTCCATCAATTTATGGATAATTCCAGTGTAAGAGTGTTTAAATGACACCAGATTATAATGCTAATATGCTACAGTTCACTGAGCAACAGCTGCATGAAAACAGCTTTCTAAAAAGCGCAGCATAGTTCTTCATTTTCTCCTTGTCTTGTTCATTCAACACAGATCGTTTCCAGCAGTTGCTCTGCAGCCTTTCAGTCCCAGAGAGTACCTGTTTTCATAGAAGAATTTCCATATTGCCTGGTTGGTATAAAAACCACTTCCACTCCTCCCAGTATGTCTTTAGCTTCTCTAAGAGCTTTTCTTTTTGTGTGAGTGGAAAGGTCTAAACCCTGGGGAGAGAGAAAAATTCTTCTCCCTTTAGAGGATTAAATATTTCTTTGGTTGGACTCGAAATGTGTTCTATTCAGGATCTTATGTGCAGCTCTCCACTGCAGCATCCAAAAGAGATGTTCATTGCTCTCTTATTTCTTTCTACCTGTCTCCTCACAGAGATTGAGCATTTTTTCACCATGCTCAGGGGACCGCCTGTTCCATTTATATTAAACAATATATGTTAAATCATGAATACTACAGGACCTAGATTTTCTTTCCCTGGAGAAATACCTAAAAACATCAATTGTAGAACTGTGCTTTATATTTTTCCTTTTCTGAATTTCATTATTTTATTTCATCTCTAAAAAAAAACATTTGGGGACTACGGTCTTTCATTCAAGGAGTAAAATACTAGAATAGTTTGCATTTTCAGTTCAGATCATTTTGCTAACTGCTAATCCTCATTCATTTTTCTTCTTCCATATCATTGTTTGCAGCATTCATAGACTCAGTCAAGCATCTGCTCCAGAGAAATCAGAATGTCCTGTTCCCTCTGTCTTCCAAAAAGAGAGACCTCTTTTAACCATCTTCTAGTAAGATTTTACTTTTCTTTCAGGCTCTTTTCATTTCAGAAAGAGCTGCATTGTGTTCTTGGTGCTGTGCTACCCTTGGATATCAGACAAACACTAAAACAGGGCCAGCAGACAACTTTTACTTCATTTATATGAACTGAGCATGTTGCCTTCATAAAATGATAGAAGAATATTCTAGAAGAGAACTTCAGATGTCAAATAGCTCAAGGTTCTCTCCCATGACAGGATCATTAGCCTAATTTCATTCTTCACAGATACTAGCCTAATTTGATTCTTCACAGATAATTGCCTAACTTGTTCTTAAAATTACGGAGTCTTCACAACCTCCCCAGACCAAATATTCAACAGTTTTTATTATCCTAGGTCCTAGAAAGTTATACCTGCAGTCTAAAATAATCCTTCTTTCTGTTACTTTTTTCTTTCTGCTCCATCCACCATGAGCCCAAAGGAAAGATCATTCCCTCCTCTGTTTTGTATCTGAAGACTGTAATATTCCCCTGCCAGTTGTCTGGTCTTTGGTCTAAATAATTTGGATTATTTTAAATCATCTTGCAGGTCATGTTTTCCTGGCCTGTGATAAGTCCTTCTGCCCTTCTCTGGACTCTCTCCGAATGAATTGCACCTATCTCAAAGTGTAATAACCAAGACTTCACAGCCCCCAAGCTGAGGCTTTAGCAATGCTGAACAGAGCAGGAGGATTGCTTCACGTGTCTTCCAGGATATATGTCTTTTATACATTGTAGCAATATGTTTGCCTTCATTTGAAACAGCATGACATTGACTCATGTTCAGCCTGTGATCTACTGTAACACTCTTCTCTGCAGAGTTGCAACCTAGTCATTTACTTCTCCCTTGTACTTATACACTTGATTATTCCTGGTTTATTGTAGCACCTTGCATTTATCCTTACCACATTTAATCCAGTTCTTTTCCTAGCAGTTCTTCCAGTTTGTTGGAATAACTTTGAATTCTCATCTTTTCCTCTGGCATATTTCAAGTCTCACAGTTTTATGTCCCTGGCAAATGTGATACACCCACTCTTTATATTACCATCCAGGTCATCTAAGAAAACACCGAACAAAAGCAGATCCAGGACACACTGACATAGCTATCATATCAGTTTTAAGCAGCTTGTGGCCTCCTGAAGGACAGGCACAGACTAAAAGCACAGAGATTATGGGCTCTGAATCTTCTGGTATTATTTAAAGAAGATCTTCCTGTTCAGAAAATCATGTTTACCCAGTTTATAGCTTCCTTTACCTTCTATGCTCTGTGCCTCACCGAAGGCAATATTTAAATTAATGTCCATCCACGGACAAGAATCAAAAATATGACTTAAAAAAAACCCAAATGAAGTCTTTTCCTCTTATGCCAGAAATCTCTTTTAATATGTAAAATGAACAAAAGTCAATTCTGTTAGAACCTGCTGGAATTCTGAGAAAATGAATGGGAAAGATGTGACCAGCTCTCTTCATAGACTTAGGGATATATTAGAAATGTCGTAATTTATTACATCCACTGTATTACATTACAACCAGCAGCACGCACTGGAAGGGACGTACCGAGGCAGCTAGTTGATTTCAGTGGAGTAAACATTTTCTTTACATCTGCCCTTGACCAAAGGACTGCAGGTTCCTTTCCTCAGAGCTCAAACGCTGGCTGTGGTTGTCACAAGCAGGCACACAACAGATAGTAAGGCTTTGTGTACATAGGAATAAAGATGATCTGGTATGCCTCCTGACGACAATGCCTTCAGTCTCTCAGCTAGCTCTGGCTCTCGTTCCAGCAACCGCTACCAGAGTCTCCCCAGATTCCTTAACCCAATATGGATGTTTTTTCTGGCACTGTGGCTGAGGCCGTGGCACAGCAGAAAACATTGATGGGATGAGTTAACCAGCTGGAGAGTGAAGAGAGGGAAGTAGGGCTTTATGAATTTGTACTGTTTCCCAATGGGGCTCTAGTAATCAATTATTAGCCTCTGGAGCAGCCACTTACTACTTGCTCTGTGATCATCTTTTGATTCTGGCTGTTACCTCTGCTGGAAACCTCAGACCTTTGATTAGATGCAGCGGGAATTCCTCCTTTTTTTCTCTAACCTGTCTGGAGGAAGTATGTAACTAGAGAGAGGCTTTACAAGGACAAGAAAGCACTCAGAGGGGAGACAAGGAATTGACAAGAGAGCCAGCAGCACAGCAGATGTGTATTACTGGCTGATCTCATTTGAGCATCAGGCAAATTTCCTTTCCTGGGATAGGGGCAAAGGAAAAGGTAAAGGAAAGCTGAAAAGAAAAATGAAGTCCTGACTTTTCTTCATCTTACATCTGCTGGGCAATGGGATCTAGACCAAACTTCTGCGTGTCAATCAAGAAGTATGAACTGAAGCTGTTAATCCCCACTGGGTGAAAACCAGACTCAGCCTTTCGAATATCCTATAACAAACTACCAAATCGCCAGAGTCTTCCAAGACAATACAAAGATCCTCACCCTCACAGACTAGTCAATAAGCTGTTAATTCCAAGGCAAGTGGAACACCATTTTCCTTAACTGTGCACCTTGGAGTAGAACATATACTTCATAATTTGGGCATTTAAAAGAACAGGTGAATGGAAGAGTTCAGGAGTAAAACCCACCAGATCCTAACATCTGATCTCAGATGCTGGTAACAAAGCCCTAGACTTCAGCACTTTTAAGATTCTAGCAATTTTAAGCCCTATTTTTTTTTTTTTTTTTGCTCTGTTCTTATGCCTCAGAGCCAATGTAGAGATCTTTTGGTGGGAGACATTTCTCAGCTGAGAATATTATTTTCTCAGAGGTACTTTCCTCCCAGGAAATCTACGGTCACTGTCCGGTTAGTTCATTGCAACACTCTTTGCCTATAACAAACCATAATAATGTGGAAATTTTGGCAGAATGACAGTGATCACTTGGAGTCTCACTTCCCAAAAGCACTGGCCTCTTTTTCTTTTGTCTTCGTATTATTGGGTGCTATGCACAGAAGGTTCAAACTATCTTTATACCTTGGACATACAGTATTTCCCCGTGTGCCTGTGTTCATTTAGATTACTATTTGATACAAGAATGAGTATTCCAAGACCTGGCGATCAACCGCCTGCCTCGCTGCTCTTTGGAAATATGTTTATTATTAAAATTATTAAAATCTAAAAGTTACCATACATCTACTTGACTACAGGTCATAGTATAGTTATCCTGTTTTTCTGTAAGTATAGCTGCTGCCGTTGTGGGTCCACCCAGCCTCCTCTGTTTGGAAAATATGAATGGTTCTCAGTTTATCAATGCACACTCTTTGGAGAGCACAGCACAATGGACAGATGATCACACTAGTAAAACATAAATAACAACAAATGGGATTCCAAGTTTTGCCGCCAAATCTCTGGTTCCAATGTATTTCATTTCTGCATCTGTTTCCTCATCTACAAAACAGCAAATGTCTACCACACTGACAAATTATCAGATATAAATTAACTCCAAGTCAAAGCCACGGGTTCTCCATTATGGAGACCAAATGTCCTTATTGAAGGCTTTGCTTCTTCCAGATGGAAAATACGAAACTTGTTTGCAGAGCCTAGTCCACTAACCATTCAGTATTCTGAATTATGGCTTTTTAGAGGGGAACAGAGGGAATGTAAAGGGTAATGCTGCCCTACTGGGAATCGTCATTCTTCCTTGACATACCTTTTGCTGCTATAAATTAACCCTTAAGAATGACTAGACAAGCAAACAGCTGCCATATGCCTAGACAGGATTGCAGCCTCATTGGCAAAGTATTTCAAAGTCTTGTTACACATCATGTCCCTGGAGAAGAGAAACTGCAGAAGGTTGCAATAGCATCAGGATGAATAATTGAAGCACGGCTCATTCAGTATGTGCATAAACTGAAGGGTCACAGTGCTGCCTTCTAGTCAGCTGGCAGTGCAGAAACTCACCGAGTGTCTGATAGGAACATCACCTGGAGATGCTGACCCACTTCCCTGCGAGCTTTAAGGAAGTGGGTCGAGCAGGTGACTGTGGGATTGCTGAGTACACAGAGAAGGATTAAAGTAGATTATCTGACATAAAATGGGACATGACAGAATCAGTCGCATATGCTACTCTTGGGAAAACCCTTGGGACTCAGCTCCCTCAGGAAACTAGAGACCCACGCAAGATTAATGCTACTTCCCACTCGAGAAACTGTCCCTGTGGGAATTCTGCAGGATGCCCTTCCCCACGGCCGGCCCCCCGGGGTGCTTCTCCGACCTCGGCTCCGTGCTAAGCGGGGCCAAAATTTCATACCCTTTTCCCACAGAAACTCCGGCCGTTTCACCTTGGGAAGAAAAGGGGTGAGGGTGGGTAACGGCTCGGGTATTTCCCCGCTGTTGCCCGCGCCCCTGCCCGCCGGGCCCCTCCGAGCAAGAACCGCGGCCGCCGCCGCCGTGAGAGCCCCGACGGCCCCTCAGCCGCCGCCCGGGCTCCGCGCCGCACCGACGGCCTCCCCTCAGCCGCCGCCGGGGCACAGGCCGGCCCTCGCCCCCCCGTCCTCCTCCTCCTCCTCCTCCTCGGATGGGGAACCCCAACCTTAAACCTTCAGGTGCAGCTCGGCCCCGCCGGCAGCTCCCGCCCCCCCCCCCCGCCCCGGGCCCGGTACCTGCTCCGCCCCGCGGTGGCGGCTCGGTGGGGCCGCGGCGCTGGCTGCGCGCTGACAGCTCCGGAGCCGCGGCGGGGGCCGGGGCTGGGGAAGGGGAGAAGCCGGGGAGGAGATTTGGGTTTGGGGGGGGGGGGGGGGGGTGAGGGAGGGGGGGTTCGGGCACCCGGGGCTCCGGCAGCGCCGAATCAGTGACGGGAGGAGGGCCCGGGGGCGGGCGGGAGAGGGGAAGGGGGGGGGGGGGGGGGGCGGTGGGGCGAGATTGATGCCTCCCTCGTCCTTAACAGCGTCAGTTCCACTAAACGATGTAACGGGGGGAAGCGACACGGTTTCGGCTACCCAAGACCGTGTTCGTGTCTGACCTTCTCCTTCTCTGGAGATTTGTGAGTCCAAAAGCTTGTCTGCGGAGCGACTGTGTTATTTGGTCCAACAAAAGCTCGTATCGCTCTCTAGAAAGCTTGGCTTGCTTTAGATCATCACCTAACAACAACAAAGCTACTACTCGTTCCTTTGAAGGTCGGCATTGATTTTTGCTGACAGCAAAATAGCAGGCTTTCACGTTACTGTTCTACGTTGAAGAGCAAATTTGGGGGTTTGGAAAGCATGTTTATTGTTAGCCCTGTAAAATCTAATGCTGACTTCCAGGGAGAAGATGTAAAGATCTGAATGTCTAAAAAAAGTTCTAGCTCTCCAACACCAAAGGTCTTTCACTCCCCTATAGCCACCTGCTAGGGGAGAAACTGAGGTGCCAGTGTACTCATCTCAGAGTACAGATGGGGCACCCAGTAATGCTCCTCCTAGGAGATGGTCCAGCCTTTGTTGCCCTGTGTTGGCAGGCTCTGCTTTCCAACCTCCACCTCCACGCACCCCTCTCGTAGCAGGCACCAGGACTTTCCCCTGTCACAGCAAGTGCTGGACTTGCACACTGATGCGCTGCAATCAGTTTTCACAGAACCACTTTTCGCTCCCCTCCATTCCTCACGAGGTGTGTGTCAGAGCTCAGGTGCACCCAGGTACCAGCCACGAGGCTGGTCCCCACAGTAGCCAGTGAGAGAATGAAGGAAAAAAAACAACAAGGAATAGCTTTCCTCAGGGAGGAAGAGGACCAACATGGAATGACCAGAAAGTAATTTCCTTTTTGGTGCAATGATGCAAGAACTTACTTCCACTCTTTTCCCCAATAGCATTGTCTAACGTGGTGTGCACATCATATTAAATACCTGCCACCATGCAAATCCTCCCTAGCTCTCCACCCACCAGCTGCTGCATCGTCCCTATGTTATATCTTTCTCCTTCTCCCCTCCTACAGAGCAAAACAAAGGGGACAATGACAAGCAGAATGAGACAGGAGAGCATTAGAGACTAACCCTCATGTGGTTCTGGTAACAGCTGTCAGCTGAAGAGGATCCTGAATGGGCTCACATCCAGCTGGTACTGCTGGCTAAACATATTTTGTGCTCTCTTAACAGCTTCCTTGCACATTTCAAAGGACAGATTACTCAACACCCAGTTTACTGCTCCTGGAGGAATGAATGGACCACTGACTCCCAGGAGATGAGAATGCTTGTCTTGAGCATAGCCTAGACAAACAAATTCCTTCTAATCATCTAGCAGCGATAGCAGTGATGAGTAATTTATCAGCAGTATGATAGAATTGCCCTTCTAAATATATATGCTGCCACTGGGGTCAAAGTGATTGAGTACTAAGATACTACAGTATTATAAACTAGGCATATATTTTGCATTGTGCTGTGTCATCCAGACGAGCTGTGCTCTGCTCTGCCTCTGCCAGCTGTGCCTATGGCTCTGCCAGATTTTTTTTTCTCACTGGGGCAATACTGGTACATGCCTTCTCTGCCCCAGCTGAGGGGAGGCAGAGGGCTGAGAAGTGGATCGTGCTTTTAGCCAGTAGCAGCCAGTGGAATTACTCTTTTCCCCTGGAAGAGTATTCAAACAGAGCAGACCTGCTTTGCCTATGGGTCCCTAGGAAGGAGGCAGGAGAAGGTAGAGGTTTTGTGAGGGTAAAGGATTATGCTGCCCAAAAATGCGGAAGGAAAGAAGGAAAAGTGCTTAGACCTCCTAGTGCCATCTCATACTGCTGCCTTCACCACAGGTGAAAGTCTTCCCCACAGGGACATAGCCCTTGAAGCCCCATGGATGTACTGGAATGCTTTTTTGCTGTTAGCATCATGAAAATTGGCATGGCATAACTCATTAATAAATGGCAGCTTTAGAAGTGTGAGAATCAGTGCTACAAAACAGTTTAAGGCTTTGTGGAAGAGGATGCTCATTCATTTTAAATAAAACTGATTTTGGTCGCTTGCACTCACTTGCTTCTCTTTCACTCATTCACTCATATTCACAAGCACCAGGAGGTGTGTCTGAGTGGTCTGCTCAGGACCGTGTGTGCATGTATGTGTGAGAGAGAGAGAGAGACAAAGGACAGGCAACACTAGCTATGGAGTCCTTGGTATGTCTCAGATTTGTCTTGATCAGGAACAACAAACTATAATTTGGACAAGCTGTTTACATCCTTTAAGAGTCAAGCAGTCTTTATGGCATGATTATGGCCTCAGTTTTGCATTCTCCATCCTCCGTAAATCTTAGGGAAGGCTGCTGCCCATCATCTTTATTTTCTCATTCGGGGTATCTTTATCGCTGCCTTCCTGATGAGAGAACAGGAATGGCTCACATGACATTTTGAAACCTTGTTCCCATCCTCCTGTTATCAGACCCCGGGCTTTCTGCTGCTAAGTCATCTTTGATGTGGCCTTATCGGAGTGCAGACCTTCTGCTCTTGATGCGTGTATATTTGTTATTATTTATTGTTGTTGATTGTACCCTTGGTAATCAGTATGTGCAGTATTTTTATTCCTTGATCTGTATCGTACCACTATAAAGATGAGAAATGTCAGAGTAAGTAGTGATTCAAACAAGCCTAAGGATTAAACAGAATACTGCAAGAATATGTAAATATTCACCGATAGGTAAACCAGCTTACAGTGAGACAGCACAAGGCTAAAAGAAATAAGTCTATATGGTCCATTTTTGATGTGATAACAGTAAACAGTGAGGTGCCTCAAAATCCTGTATTAGGCTGCTGCTAGCTTTTATATTTATTACTAATCTGGGAATGGAATGATCAGCTGTTAACAGATGGCATCACTTGGCTCACAATGAAGTCTCTTGATAGCAAAGAAAAAATATGATCAATGATTGTCATGGGTGAATAACTAACAGCATTTTTTTGAGACCCCACCAGCAATTCCTGTTCTTGGAAATTAATGAATTTGGTGAGCTTTTGTTTGGCTTGTTTATTTTCATGGTCCAGGGTCCTGTGATTGTGGATAATATACTTAAGAGAGATATTCATGCTGTTTCCTTTAGAAGAATTCAAAGCTTGAGCCTTAGGGTCATTGATCGTATCAGGTATCTGGCGTGTCTTGTAATAGAAGAAAGCCAAGAGGGGAGATATTCTGGGTTTGTTGAAATCTGGAGTAGGTCCATCTAGAAAGGAAAGGGAATTTCAGAGGGAAACTATGATTACTTCTGTAGAGGAGCAGAGCTATGCCATGTGCATGAATGAGGAGGGAACAACACCTGTGACCAGTGTTGGATGTGTTGGATGTGCTGTGTTTTCCTTTTTTTTTTTTTTTTTTTTTGCTAATTGAAAGTGATCTCAGGTGCTTGTAGTGCAAGCCAGAAGAAATGCAGCATAAATCATGTTCTTGTGACTGATGTGTAATCCTGGGTACAAGAGGAGCACATTAATATTCCTTCAGTGACTAGATTGGGAATCATTGGCAGGGACATTGGCAGTCACAGACAAAACGGTCAGTGGCAGGAAACCACAGAAAAGCAGAAACCTGTCTAGCTGACTGGGAACTTATGACACAAGGTGAAAAAACATCTGGAAAAGACTCAACTTATCAAAGAGGTGTTAGACTCTCAGCACGTCACCTACTGAGGAACGTGTTTGGCAAATGTAACAGAAAATTGCAGGAGATATCTGATGGGAGTTCTTTCAAGAAGGCGAGCAATAGCTGCTGGTGACTCCATGACAAAAAAGGCAGGTGAAGCCAATGGCATGGTGATAACAGGACAGCGTGCTGAAATTTTGTTGCACTTGATAGACACAAATGCTGATCTTTTTCACTGGAGAAGCAGCCAGGAAGACACAAAATTGACAAGAGAAGAAGGAGGCAGAAAAAATAGTGTTTGAACTCAGTGTATGGCACACATAAGGTGTCAAAGAATTTAAAGAGAAGGAATATTTCACTTGTTTATCTCCTGATGCTAGAGCCTGAGAAAAAAGGATAAAAAAAAAATGACAATTCTTGATGATAAAAAGAAATTTGATATAACTGACAACACTGAAATGTCAGAACGATTCTCATGACTGGAATGTTGAGGGCTCACATAACTTGTGTAGGAAGGAAGGTGTGGTATAATTCAATGAAATGTAAAGTCCTGCTAAGCATTTCACTATGACCAAATGGGAAAAGAATGTCAAAAATCCTCCTGAAAGAAGCTAAGTATTTTCCCTTATATTTGAAGAAGTTAACATATGTCAGAAAGGTGTACAGATCTGGATTCCACTGGGACACCTACAGACACATATACAGGCCTTGTATATACTCAGCAGCAGATTAACTGACACTACAATTAAATCTATCTAACTCAGTTAGGAGAAAAAAGCAAGCAAGCAATCAAGCAAACAAACAATCAATTTAAAGCTTTAAAATAGCTTGCCTATCAACTAATTCCTATCCAACTACCAAAGAAGAAAACAACAACTTTCCAAGTATTGGCTTTTCCCTTTCTCCTTCAGTCTTTTTCCCTTTTCCTTACAAATATTCTGGAAAATTTAATCCTGTCACATATCAATAGGATACAAGTGAATATTATAGCCAAATCTTAAATGGTTATGTTCTATAGTATTGTCCCAGTATCAGCTTCTAAAGGTGAAGATCAGTTAGCATATGCAGGTAGGAAAGATAAGCAATGCCATTGTATTTGCATCCATTCAGAAGCCCCCCAAAAAACCCCACAATTTGTAGATGGTAACTACATAAAGAGAGAGCCAATTATGTCCTTAATGCATAAATACTTTAACTAAAATGGTATGCACTGACAGCTAAGTTCAGAGATTTTTTT